ATCTTCTGGGATATGTCTTCGACCCCGGAGATTGAGATGTAATTTTGCTCCGAAACGTCCATTAACATTCAACGGGCTACACGGAGTTATACCCTAGAAAATAGACCCGCTTAAACATGTCGCATTGATTCCAGTTACTGATGTTTCATAATTACTTACTTTTGAAAACTTACTGGGACACTCCTTTAGATTTTTCCCTTTTTTTTTTTTACCTTATACTCCATTAGAAATAACAAGCACTGGAAACTCATATCTGATTTTGTTTTGCATCATTGCAATATGCCACAACTCCTATTTATTCTGCACTGAAGATTGAGTCACGTGGACACCCCTGTCATGTCGAAATGTAACACGTAGTAAAATGGAAGCGCAAAGGGTTGGGGAGATCATTATGTTGTCGTGAAGTCTGCAGCCTAAAGAAATTCCGACCGTGACGCGTGTATCTAAGCGGTCTTCGTGCCTATCTTGAGGCCACCATTGCCCTTCCTCGACGTGAGAGAGGAACGCTCACGAGTATTTGCCTCCAGCGGAAGTAAGTTTCTATAAAACACACAACGTAACGTTTTCCATAAATTCATTTTAGTCTTGTTTCATTACGTGTCCACCACTAATAACTTTTTAACCAATTAGCGGATTTCGTAATATTTGGTGTGAAGATCATGACACCAGTGATCGTCGTAACTTTTCCCTTCTTAATCAGTATTAAGAAGAAAAAGCTGCTGCATGAACTTCTCCGTGGAGCACCATAAACGTGAACGAGTCCTAGGATTTGATGTGGGAAGAGTCGAAGCCGATCACAGTGGCCGAGATGTCTAAGGCACGACCTGTCTTCGCTCGTTCGAAGGCTGTGATCATGGATTCGAATCCAACTTGAGGCAAGGATGTCTGTGTGACTTTATTCTGTGTTTGTGCTATCCTGTGTGCAGACAGCGGCCTTGTGACGTGCTGATCCCCGTCTAAGGAGTCATACCGACTGTGTAATACATCAAGAACCTGAAAAATTGGCCAAGGTTCAAGAAAGGGCTGTACAGTCACGGATAGATAGATAGATAGATAGATAAGTAGGTAGATAGATAGGTAGATAGATAGATAGATAGACAGCTAGATAGATAGGAAGATAGATAGATAGATAAATAGATAGATAGATAGATAGATAGATAGATAGATAGATAGATAGATAGATAGTTGAAATCATATACATTTTGGTGATGTAAATTTTTGTGGACACCTTTCACAAAATTTTATCAGGATGATGAAACCAAAGTGGATAAGATTGAAGTGGACATGATCACCAACGGGAGAAATGACGAATGACTATAAGATTTTAGTCCGAAAACCTGAAGAGATCGCTTAGGAAAACTTAGATGTAGATGGGAGGACAATATTAATACGGTTATAGAAGAAATTCGGTTGTGAACAGATGGACTTGATTTACATGTCTCAGAGTGGGATCCAGTGTCTGGCCTTTAAACAACGTAATTAACCTTCACGTCAGATCAAAGGAGCGGAATATTTTAGACAATTGATCTAAGAAGATCAGCTGCTCAAGAAGACTCTCTTTTATAGAGTCTGTTATTTTTACTACATAATATAAAATAACTTATTGGTACTGAGCGAAATTTATACTTAGCTACTTACACGTAGAACAGCGATAAATGATTGTAGAAAAACACGTGAAAATTTTAAAAGAGATACATTCAAATAAAGCTATAAAATCTGCATAAAACATCCTTTATTATTAAACAATTACAAATGTGACCGCAGTCTTACGAAACTTGGAAGTAATAAGTGGCAGATTTACGTAACATAGTCTGAATGAAGTAGTGTAAATTTTGTACAGAAATTCATCAATGAATTTTATGCATATTAATTCATAACTCCTACTAGTCTTCATATATACACTGAATCATGTCAGGGGAAGAAGACGTCACAATTTCTTCATACAATTTTTATCTTTTTCAATATTATTCTATTTGAAACGAAGGATAAACCATTAGAAAACATCTTCATGTTCTTGTGTGGTTTGTTTCAGGTTTCTTAACGACGTTTCTTCAGAGGTATAGTCCACTCTTCCAAGAATTGAATGCTGTGTTTCACGTTGAGGGCAGATTACCAAGGGTAATTTGCCTTTTCTCTGTCCGGCACAAACGAAACATTTCTTCATCAGATCGATAAATTTTCTTCTGGTAGGCCTTGTCCTCTTCAATGTGCATTCCTAAAGCAAACTGTTTTCGTGAATCCCTGTCTCTGTGCATTACCTTCTGGATCAAGCGAAGCTCGATAAGCAGGCAATTTCAATCTCTTGTGCAAAACGTCCTGCATAATCCAGAGAGGCAGGGCTAATTCTAAACTTGCTCGGCGAACAGATTTTCGAGGATTACTCTAAAATATTTGGCGTCTGCATTACTGGGACACCGTGCAGCATTGACGTCCATTTTGCCTCAAGACTCTTCCTCTCACTTTCAGACTCTCATCCCAGTGCATCAGAGATCTGTAAATGTGTGCTGCACGGAGCACATTTCATCTTCAACTGAACCCAAAGGCGAAGGCACGGAGATGCTCCAAACGCGTAAGCGCAAAGGTGAATTGACCAAGAAGGAAGAGTACTTCCGAGAGTTTTAAAATGTTTGCAATATGACGTCCGCTTTCATTCCGTAAATAAACCAGTTTGTTTTACTTAATATTTAGGGCCAGACAATTTTATTTGGATTTAAGACGGAGAAAGTAAAAGGGGAACGGATTCAACTGATAAGAAAACAGATGCCAAAGATGAATTTTGTGAACATAGGGATTGTCTTCGAACTACAAAAAAAAACAGGACATTCCTTTGAAGGTGATTAACTAAGTACGAGTAATTAAACAATTCTTCTATAACTGAGACCTTAATGAAAAGCTGTTATTTGCTCAGCTTTTCGACCAATCTCCAGCCTTTCATGCAACCCGGAAGTTCATTTCCAACATAGTGTCAGCTTCACGTCAGAAATTTGGTTGATTGTTGTTTGGTTAGTTAGCCACGTATTTAGTCAATCAGTAAGTTAACATTATGGTTCCTGCAGAAACAATTTCAGTTCTTTAAAACAATGTGCGTGTTTACTACGTGGCCATGATGTCTTACCTGTGACCCGAGGGTTAGCAGCTAGACGAGTTTAATTGCCAACTTGTCTGCCAAGACCTCAGGGAATTCTCAACTCACATTTTGGAGACTGACGTCATAAAAACATAGCAAATGAGGGGATCTGATGGAGAAGTTCAATTTCACACTCACTGTTCCCTCTCTCTCTCTGTAAGGTCTAGTGATTCGGTCTTGCCGAATGATTTACACGATTCTTGGGATATTTAAACCACTTTCATGTTTAACGGCTTCGGAACGTCTGTATGTGAGCTAATTAGGAGGCTGTGAAAAGACATTAGTTTAACGAAGAACTAGTTTAAAGGGTATCTTACGTTATGACACCATCGATTCCATCCTTATTATCATAGTATCATTCTGGGACATCTTCCCATTTGACACTACATAGCTGTGCAGATGAAAAAGGGTAATCAGATAAACCAAGAATCACTAACGAACTTGAAAGATTGTCATGAGTGCTAACTGTGAGGAACTAAAAGAAGCTAGTCATGACTATTTTAAGGCATTACTTCACAAATTTCCTAAGTGGACTAAGGAGAGTCGAGAAAATTTTCAGTCAAGTTAATTTATATTCCGGCCGAGATTCGAACCAGGTATCTCCCATAAACCAGGAAATGTGCTAACCACTCGAGGGCAATATTACACGTAGATGATGCTCAGGATACCACGGAAATTCTGTCGGGATAGATGGAGAAGACTCGAATTGCGGACCACCCTAACTGCCCGGGTTTGGTCAAGTGGGATTTGTGGTGGACAAAGTGGCGCTGGGGCAGGTTTTCTCCGAGTACTTCGGTTTCCCCTGCCAATCTTCATTGCACCAGTTGCTCCACAATCACCCTCACCTATCATCTGGGGCTCGTACAATAGGCCAGAAGCGGTCCCAGTACAGGGGACTTAGTCCCACCCCACTAGCAATAAAAAATAATAGTGCCAATTTTAAGAGAGCATGTTAAAATATGAAACTCTGCTTTCAATCATATTTTGATACTATGTGTATTTAATGAAATATATGGAGACGACTGGGCTATGCATATTTGCAGTGTGATTAGCTTTGCAGCAATAAGTTTGCACCTACAAGGACGTAAAGAAAAATGCGGACTCCAGAACTTCAAAAAACGAAAAAGACGCGTTCGGAAAATATTTAAGAGTGTGCTCCAAAACGGATTATATATTTCCAATCGTCTTCAATTAAAAAAAAAAATATGTAACAGTACTTTGTGATTACTTGAAGCAGCCAATCACGACGGCTGGTGTACCTTATGCAGAAGCTCGGTGTCTGTGTACTGGGACCGGTCTTCCAAAGGAATATTCAAAATAAATATTTTACATTTCGTTCTCAAGAATCATAATCATATCGTAGCGGTACACTGAAGAACCATCAATGTCAACTTAAAACATCCGCTCTATTCGGTTTTCATGGTCGTCCACGTAACAAGAAACACGTTTGGTCTGTGTATTTAACCTGTCCGTCGTATATCCCTCCAGTTTTAACGCTGCTTGAAGCTATACGAAGTGGCCCCAAGGGGTATATCACTCTCTTTGTTAATCTGTCTAAATAAGAATTAAAGTGATAATTCTCTTAAAGGAGCGGAGGTTGTATATTCGGAGTTAGAGGCACATATCTGAGAAGTTAACAAAAGGGAATTGTGGGTTTTCAGCACAAATGGACACGTTTATAACTAGATCAGCAGAATGTTCACACCAAAACGTGTTTAAAATCAATGTATTTCTAAAGACTAAAATTAAGGGTAGCATTATTTAAACAGGGAGAGTGGGAAGGAAATTATATCCAGGGTCGTGGAGAAGAAGTGGGGATAGGAATGAAAAATGCCCTCAAGGACTGAAACTCACTTTATCTCTCATTCCTTATTTTGAAGTGAAGAGCATACTAACATCACTGAAGAGCTGTCGAATTCTTGATGTCCCTATATGGCATATTTACTACGCGTGTGTTTACGAAGTAATGCGTTGTTATGCAGAATGTAACGTAATCTTAGCAACTGGTCACATCTCGCTGGGAATACTCGGCATCAACAGGAACACGTCAATGGCTGCATTAAGGCTACTGATACTTGTACGTATAGAAAGTACTTACAACTCTCTTAGTGGTAAATATTTCTATAAATAAGTAGGAATCTTAAGGTATAAGGCCTATTTCAGTGGTGTACAGGCGTTCCTTAATATGTTTTTAGCTGCAGTATCCATTAACACTACAAAAACTTTAATGTATGGATTTACATATTATTTTTCCTGGTATTTCGTTAAATATTTAAAATAGCAAGAAACGATTCATATAAAACGTATAGATATTATTTATAACTAATCAAACATATACTTTACGTAATGAATCCATATCTGTGCCACTGATGGTTTTTCAGGGAACTGAACTTTATATGGGTCAGAGTAGGTCGATATGAATCCGTATTAAATTTGCTCTACGTGTTTTAACGTTGAGCCCCAAATACAAAATTTGATGAAAGCCTGTAGTAGTTTCGGATATCAAATAAGCGGGCAGACAGACGGATGATAGTATGCTATGTGCTTAACATGCGCTTGCTTGGTGCAAAGAACATGTAACATGTAATATTTATCAAATAAATTAGTGATTTAAACATGATATATTCAAATTATTCCACAGGATTCAATTCCCACAGGCCTATTACAGCGTAAGTAATGCAATGTGATACATAATTTGTTGCTAACATATTATTATTGAAGGCCTGCTAATTTCCAGTTTTCTTTTGTTTTGCTGTACATTTTGGCTTATGGCATACAGTTACCCTAAGCAGTATATTCTAAGGGTTATTATATTAATCATTAACTAAAATGAGATTACAAAAGTTCATAATGAGGAGCCATGCAAAGATTACTGTTGGCCTGTCACTGTTTGAATGAATAATTCAAGAAGGATGAAATTGCTGTGACATGTAGAAAGAATAAAGAAAATCAGAAATATATACAGAATTTGTTCGGAGAACCTCAAGACGACATGAAGAGCCGAGGTGCATACGGGAGGATAACATTAAGATAGATTTTGATAAATAAGACATTGGAGTTGAACTGTGTTGGTCCAGGTTGGCTTAAAATAGCGGGGTGTTGTTAAAACACTGAGGAAGTTTTCAGCTTCAAAAACCAGTTAAACAACTATCAAATATTCTAGATCCTTATGCAGTGGCATTAGCTAGGCTGCTAGGAGGTTACTTAGCTAGTTAGTTAATCTCGTTACTTAAGAAATATGCATATATTGAATGACGTACACATTCAAAAACAAAATTAGTTCAGCTGACCAGGTTCTTTTAGAGGTAGTGCAACGAACTTGTATTCCGGAGGTAAGAGTAGCTAGAACTCCGGCCAGAAAGCAAACTGTCCTGAATGCAGTTCTCGACATTTCTCTGTCTCTCAAAGAAACAGCGAAGTACTGTATTCTGGTATCAGATCTCGTATATTCTCATAGAAGCTTACCGACGTTTCGGAGGAACATACTGTGTCCAGCTTCATCGCCGAAGAGCAAACAAGCAAATAGAAAACAGCAATACTTAGCTTGTTTGCTCGGCTTACAAGTTCGATATTGAAGATGGAAGCAGTACCTTCTTCCGAAACATCCGTAAACTTGTACCATACTACATGGCATCAAATCCTAGGAGACAGTATCCTTCGAAGGCTCACCATGAGAACTTAAAATCACAGAAAGTTGTGCACACTTAACAAAATCAAAGGTGATCTACCAGTATTTATGATTCTGTCCTGTAGCTAACTGTAGTTCGATGAGCATTGCAGGAAAGACTTGTAGCTATAATAAGTGAACATGAATGTCAACTATTTATTTATTTTGCGGTTCGTTTAATGAGGAACCGGCTAGATTATTTGGCCTCTAACCGTAACGGAGGAACATTGATGGAGGGTGAAAGACAAATTTGTCCCTGTACTTACGAGTAATTAATTGCCGGTCACGGTAGCTGAGCGGTCTAAGGCATGTACTGTCTTCGCTCGCTTGGAAACCGGGATCGTGGGTTCGAATCCCACTCAGGGCATGGATGTTTAGTTTGTGTGGGTGCGTTTTTCTGTTTGTGTACAGGTAGAGACCTTGCGACGAGCTGATCACCCGCCCAAGGAGTCCTACCGAATGTGTAAGATCTAGAAAAACCGAAGTGAACGGAGAAGTTCATGGCCCACTGGGGCTGTAGTGCCAAGGAAAAAAAACTTAACTAATTAAGCACTACGACATGAAGGCGTATAGGCAAATGGATGTATAGATCCATATTTTCTTGACCGCGGCACTAGTTGGAGGTGAGTGGTCAGATTCACGTCCAGGCCGCTTTGCCCACGGGGAAAGGCCCCCGGTACCCACTGGATAGGAGGCTGGGTGGGCACCAGAGCCGGCCTGGACGAGGTGAAGAGAAAATTCTTGACCCTACCGGGACTCGAACTCCCACCCCTCGGCCGTCCAGCCCGTAGCCAGTCGCTATACCGACTACGCTATCCCGGCTCTACGAATTGAGGGCAGTCGAGGATGAACTGCAGAGGAAGATGTTTGTTCCTAAGAGAGTGGACGTTACAAGATTATGGAGACCACTGAACGAATTCGTAATTTGAAATCTTCACTGAATGCTATTACAGTGACAAAATTAAGAATAACTGGATGGGAGGTCAACATAGCATGCATGGTGCAAATAAGACACATAAGCCTTTATATCAGAAAACAAAAAAGGGAGAAGGCGCTGGTGCCATCGCTCCTGTCCCCTCGTTACACACTCATGGGAGACCGATTCGTATGTGAGAGGGTAATATTAAAAAGGATGTCGAAGTTTTTTTTTTTAGAATGAATAGTATTCGACTAACTACGTATACGACCATTGGTGGGCTCTTGTGAATCCGGTAATGAATATTTGAGATCCATTTCGGTAACGGTAACGAAGTTACAGTACATTTTCTGTCGACCTATCAAAAGTCATAGGTCAGTAGCATATTCATGGGAGTTCAGTCAACAGACCAGTTTGAGCGACTTCAGCAACACTCCGATGGACTGAGAAATATACTTTCCAAAAATGCGACCATCTCGAAGGAGGAACACGCCACTTCTTCACCAGGATGTTGCATTATGAGCAAGGGTCCTGTTCAACGTTCATGATACGTGTCAAACTGCGGTTCTTGAACCACGAACGATTTCAAAAATACAATAAGCATTTGAGAAAATCCGGAAATAGAGCTTCCATTTTAATGCACTGTTACATTCTTACAGATACTTGGAGGATCAAGCATATGCTGCCTAACTCTTCAGCATCGCTACCGAACTCCAGTACCGATTCCAGCAAATGCTGAGGTGCACTTCAAGACCCTTAATACTATCGATGGTTCCTACCATTTTGGTTATGACACTGGTGAGAATAAGTATGAATTTTCATATCATCATAAGAATGAGAATCTCAGCGAATTTATAAAATGATTTTAATAAAGCACTAAAAATAAATATTCATTATAGTCTGTTGGGGATCAAACAGTGCCAAAACGGTAATAATTATGGATACTTCGAAGGAACTTCCTGCCACTTTTAGGGCTGAAGTAGAGGCACTGAATGTCAAACTTTTACCCTCTAAAAATGGTGCCATATTCAGAGGGGCATACGAGCGACAATGAAAGCCTTAAGCCTCAAAACGAAATATGGTAATAGTCCAATATATTTAAAATTCGGTGCCAAAATTAAAGTATTAAAATTATAAATTATACATGTAAATAAATTCATTTATATTTAATGAGCTAATGTAATTATAAATAAGTAATATTTAAATCAGGAAATTTGTCTACGGTGAATCAACAATTACATAACACCCAGTTAATCTATGTGGACTTTGTGATTTTATGGTCATTACCTTATTTAAAACACAATTCTGGAATAGAATGAGTCACCAACTATATTTAAAATGTTTCAATCCATGATCCTGACAACTATAAATTATTAATTATATAATTCACTAATGTATTTCCATGCATAGTTTCAATTGGTATATACTCCCAATATGTTAAATATTTTCATTATCAATTGTCCTAATTTTTATTTGTGACAGTATCCAGGTTCCAAAAGGTCATCTCATAAATTAAGGCGATGTTCAATGTCCAAAAATCTTTTCATGTAGTGTTGAGTGATTTGGTGTTCAGTAAATAATGAAATTGAAAAGCTGTGAAAGGAGGTAGTTGTGGGATAATTTTAGGTATCATCACCAAATTTTCCTAAGGGCTGAGAAAAACCATACAAACTTCAATCAGCACAGCCATTCTCCAGACCGAGCTTTGAATCTGTGACCTCCCAAATACAAAGCAGGAATATTACCCATTTAAGGTGATGTTTGGAGCCAGAAAACTACTTAAGAGTATTTGAATTCAGTGTAAGACTACTGTGTTCTAGGGCTAATGCGGTATCAGTCCTTCCGAGAGGAGGTTCGAGATCCTACTGGAAGAATCAAAGGAAAGTTTGGTTTCATAGATCCAAGGGGACTTTTGAGGATCACTGAATACACAGCTGATAAGCTTGGCTATCGGTAAGTCCAATAGTAGAGCACACATTACGAAAAATATGAAGAGATCAAGAACACCATGACCATGTAAGAAAGCAAAAGCAACGTTGCAAATGTGTCTAAGGCATACAGGGAATGCAAAAATAAGATTCCATGCACCTAGGTATCTGCATTAAATGGCAACAGGACTTGATATACATTCTGGCCACTTCACTACTACCCAGTGCCTCTGTCATCCACTGAACAGAAGGATGGCTGGCCCCAGAGCTATCAAACCTTGGTCATTAAACTCATATGCATACTCTTCCCTCTGAGCTATTGTATTATATTTATAATACATGCATTAGCTATTAGTGTTTGTTAGCGAGACAAGTGTAATATACAGGTTTGAATTTCAGAAAACAAGTTTCTTACATATCCAGACACTTTGCTAAGACGGGCCATGCCACAGCTCAGGCGGTTATTCGCCAGCTTCCCACCGCGGTAGCCAGGGCTTGATCAAAACTCAGGTCATGAGGGACATGTGGTGGACAAAGCAGTACTGGAGCAGGTTTTCTGGGAGTGCTTCAATTTCCCTCTTCAGTTCTCATTCTACCAACTTCCACATGCAGTAATTATTCTAACACTGATGCTATAAAATCTTGACACTGGCAGCATTATTAACAAATTTAAAAGAGTTCTTATGAAGTGGTATCCTGGCTTAATTGTCCTAAATTTATAATATATGCACTAACTCTTTGTTAGTGAAACTATGGAATTACACAGGTCCACATTTCAGAAAACAACTTTTTTTACATTTCCAGACATTTACTAAGAGCTGTGCTAGCTTACTTTTAATGAATTCATAATAAACGCACTAATTCTCTTCTCAGTGTTTGCCAGTGAAACTAGGCATAAGAGTATTATAAAGGCCTGAATTTCAGAAAGTAATTTTTATATATTGTGTAAACAATACATTAACAGGGTGGAATATTTGGCCAGAAAGAACAGTTGCCATATAGTTAGTTTCAGAGCACTTAATTTTAAAGAAGCTATTTCCAGTGCCTGAAGCCGTCATGACTATCACTAGCCTTGGTGGCCAAGAGAAAAATCTGTAACCCTGCTAAGTACTGAAGTCTACTGCTCAGCACTGCAGTCTCACATTACTGAGTTAGTTACCCCACTTCATTGATAACACATGTACACAGCACTTAATTCCTAGGCTGTTAACATGCCAACCTATTAGTGCTCACCACCCAGCCTCACAAAATGGAGCATTAAGATCACAGAGAAAGAGTTAACATTTATTTCCTTTGCAGGGCCAAACAAACAATTCATTATTTGGTGAAAAAGGAAAAAAATTTACCCATCATCGGTCCAATTCCATCATCACTTAGCAGAAAGAGACTATCACAGTATTAAAAAGACAAAAAATCAGCAGAGAAACTACCTCATCAGGTGTTATTGAAACACCATCAGTTACGTGCTATGAGGTCTGACTGAAACATATTTTGGGAGGCGGGGATTATTTCATGATGATGTTGGTATCTCAGACTATATATATAGTGTCAAATCATGAATGACTGGTGAATAATGAATTGGAAAGGACTGGAGGAAGCAGTCATGGCCTAATCCAGGTAGGATCCCAGCATTTGCTGCGGGGACTGAGGAAATATCTCCCTGAATGCTTTTGTATGAAGGCATCATTTACAAAGCAGCCTCCACGTGACCGGCTTCAGGGTACATCTGACACAACACAGAGGCTTGTACATGCACATGGAAGAATTATGCATTACAATATTTTATTACAGAACCATATTCACATATAACTTACTCTTCTACTTTCAAACATACATTGCTGATATATAAAAGAAAATGGTTGAACAATTATAACATACGTTTTGCACGTGTGCAATGACCAACTTAAAAGCAACTCAAGATGGTCACACAAGAACACCAAGGTTGTCTGGTATTCTGTAAAGAATTCAGATGTGTCTATCTCTTCTCAAGATTCTTCAGCCTTGCCTCAAGACGTTTAGAATATGCATCAAGCTTGTATGCTGCTTGCTCAAGCTTTGTGACGCTATCTTCAATTTGGTCAATCTGTTCCAGATATGGCTGCAGATTCTTATCTAAAAGAGAGTGAGGTATTTATTAATGTTCACTTCAATTTCAATAGTTATAAAAGGAATCGAAAATGGCGTCTATGATGCAACATGCTGAAGCTGGATGTTTGAGAGGCCTATGAAGGCTGTCCAGAAAACAATGCTCTCTGTTTACAGTGTACCACATTTTCTTGCTATTAGATAGTTGTTGTTCCCCTTCTGTGATTCAGTTCGCACTCTAATAATACAACAATATGAGTATTTGTTTATTGCAAATTTGGTGTGTTGATGCTTGTATAACAGTACTATATAGTGATACACAAAAGGATGCATACAATATTGGTATATCCACAGTATTCCTTTACATCAGTGCGTTTCTTGTGAATTAAAAAGTGATTAGAATATATTACAACTATTCAAGATACAGAGTTGGGCTTATTTTCTAGGTCACTCAGTCCTGCATGTAAATACAAGGGTTGGAACTTTAATAGTGGAAACTATTTATTTACAACTGATATAAAATAGATGCATGTTTCGAAGTTTTACTGTCCTTCAATGTAGTTGCCAGCGATGTGGAAGTCGTAGGATACCTTTAGCAGTGCCTGTTGTGTTGATAGTTCGAGTGGAATGGTCTACTGCCTGAAGAATCTCTGGAACAGTTCTGAAGCGAATGCCACAGAGTGGTTCCTTCATCTTAGAACTTAAGTCGAAGTCACAAGGGCTTAAGTTCGGGGAGTATGGTGGATGGTACAGCACTTCCCAGGCCCATCAATCGAACACATCAGCCAGTTTGCACTGCATGCGGCCGACCACTGTCCTGAAAATTGATGGGTGGGTTCTGCAGAAAGTGTCGCCCCTTCTTTCTCAAAGCTGGTCGCAGGTTGTGTTCCAAAAATGAACAGTAATACTGCGCACTGACGGTCTGCAGTCGGGGAACGGTATGCAATAGAATAACACCATCAAAGTCATACATGAACATCACCATAACTTTCATATTGCTGGGGTTCTGATGAACTTTCGATTTTCGTGGTGACCCGTAATGACGCCATTTGTTCCGATTGGCATTTTATTTGTGGCTCGTACAATTTGGCTCATGTCTCATACGGCGTAAGAAAGCCTCTCCTTCGCGCTCATACTGGTCCTAGTGGTTACGAGCAGCGTCATATTGTAGCCATTTCTGCATTTCCGCTACATCATGCAGAACCCATCGTGATGCAATTTTTCTCATGCCCAGGCATTCCTTCAGAATGTGAAGCACAGTCGTATGCGCTAATCTTGTCTCTCGGGCCAGGTCACGAATAGTATGGTGTCGATCACTCTCCAGTAACATGGAAAGAGCACATGTCTCCTTCATTGACACTAGGATGACCTGGCTGACGCATGTCTGCCACATTATGGCATCATTCGTTGAAGGCTTTCACCCATCTTGCCACTGTTCTGTAAGGCAATGCAGAGTCCCCGCAAGCCTCTTGAAGACCTTTGAGCTGCCCTTCTCCTCCTCATAGGGTTATGTAGGGAAGCGACAGGAGGGGAGGCCACAGGAACAGCTTGCTCATGGACGTTGGGTTATAGGCCTCCCTAAGTTGGCGCAGGGATCAAAAGAAAATATGCCTTGGGATCAACTGCTTAATGTGGGAACACCAATCCAGACAGCAATCAGGCAGTTTGATTACTAGTCAGACTGTGATGGAATGACATCATCAGTAAGCACAGCTCACACAAGTTGGTAACAAAAATATATATATTATAACATAATGTAAAGATATGCCATTTGGCATTAGAAAAATAACACAATACAAAGAAACAACTGATTAGCACAGCCCGTGCCCAAAGAAATGCTACACTCGTGAAACAGAATTACAAGTCACACACGTGACACAAAAATGCAGTCATTTACCTATAGGTAATACCAAGTAAGTAAACCAAATCATATTACCTCGCGCAAGCCAAACACCTTCCTGCTATTGCCGCGAGGGCTCAGTTCCTCATGGTGCCATGCCATGCGGCCAAAACAGCAATTTGGAACACTGAAGAAAATTGAACAGAATTTTGCAGTGCAGGGACAAACTGTCCCACCTGATGGTCACCCAGGAAAAGAGAGCGAGCAATCACAGACACTCCCTAAGGTAGAGAAGAGAAACAAGGAGGGGGAAAGCATGTATCATGTACATCATCAAAGAACATATAAGGAATGAAGGGAACACTGTCTCTGCGGAACACTCACCGGGCAAGGGGGTCAAAGATCCTAATCCACAGAACCGTGAAACATGGTTCACCTTGATCACACTGTTGTGCTGTATGGCCTCTGGCACATTCAATCTTTATCCAACTCCGTTGTTCTTGTTTCGAAAATATCATGACAACACTACATTAGACCGCCAGCTAACACAAGGCTCTGTTCTTCTTGTCACTCCGCATGCACATGATGTGGGAAGAGAGAGTCCATTTGCTCTGAGGTAAGGTAGGTATGTAAGTAACGTGTGGTATAAACGACATTATTTGGTTCCATGGCATGACGCCTCTACAGCAGTGTTGCCACTATTAATGTTTCAACCTTCATAAATCCTCATTCAAAGCATGTGAGGCTTATGTTTCTGCTGATCTAGCACTCACATACAAACATCATAGGAAATATAACAATATTAAGATGGATTATCAGGGAGACTGTGGGCGTGAGAAGTGGACAGGTTTATCCTGGAATCAAAGCCTGCTAGCAGACTTTGGTATTCATGATACCTTGGCTTCTATTACTAGAGAAAGTGTGTTACTTACACTTCTCATTTAAATCAATCATGGTGCGAGCCACATTGCCAGCAATCTGTTTCATGTCTGAATACTTAGTGATCGTCACTCTATTCATTGATTCCAGCAACCTATAATCTTCCTGAAGAAATAAGAGAAAAAAATTATAATAATAAGAATAAGCATCCCAAATTTGAAATTTACAGCTACGTTACTGCATGCATACAGTCAATCTCTACCTTGCCACCAACACTACGTCCACAACTGTAAGCCTGATGTAGAATTATTTCATGTGGTGAATTCATTTGGAAAAGATGAATTTGTGCAACTTGCTGAGAAATAGGAAGATGATCAATTTCTTTCAAATATGTGGAATTTTGTCAAGTGACTGAGCTGTCTGGTATGCACCATAAAGTCTTCCAGAAATGTGAACAGGCACGTTAAGAATGGCCAACTCTTCTCGATACGGCTGTCTGTTTTACACAGAGGTGGGTTTACAAACAAACTGTCATCAAATGGTGCAAGCATCAACTATCCCTAAGCTAACATGGTGGACAAGAAGGGGGTAAATTTCAAAGTTACTCAGATCATCTGTTAATACATTAAATACCAAGTAAAGCAGCTGTAAGTAGTAATAAGAACTAAGTGTCCCTGCTGTAACCACCATGCCAAGAGGATAGTTGAGACAAGTGTCTATGCGCTCCTTACTTCACCACTACATTTACATCTTACAACAAACATTGGAACAATCAAAGATTTAAGTATACAAAAGGTTTCATCATTATTTTGCTTATACAGGGAGGATTTTTACTTTGTTGACTGGTTCCATGGCTCTACAAATCACCTGTTCTGTATGGCTGATGTCTTATTTTAAAAGATAAACATAAGTTGAAAGTAGCCAAATACAATTTGCTGAGGGCAATATTTGCTCCAAAGGGGAATGACGTGGGCAGTTTATGATATAATGTACAAAAGAATTCCAAGATAAATACAAGTCACTTAGTAGATTCTAAACCTAGTCTTCTTTGAGCAAAGTATCTAGAAGACTATTAGGCATAGAATGCATACAGAAAGTAGGTGGGAAAAAAAAGGTTTTAAAAGTGATCATTTGGAAGACTGAAGAGGAACTGGCAGTTTAATATTAAGGGGTATCTAGATAATATGTTATGAGGACAGGAGGTGGATGCCACTAGCGCAGGACCATATCCAATGGCGGAAATTGGAATTTGTGGTGTTGAACTCTCAGTTCTACAACCGGACATTCAGTAGCTTATTAGTCATACCTGTGTTGCTGTCAGTTCACCAAATAAATAATCAGCTGTTTTCTGAAACATGGTGGTTGCCAGACGACTTAGATTTGGATCATGGGGATCAAGGGCTTCAAAACTGCTTGTACTTGTGGAGAGTGTCGGCCCTAAAATGTGTAAAATGGTACAGATATTCCCCAAACATATTTCAAACTGGGAATGGCACCACTGGTGTAAATCATGTCATATTCACGCAACAAATATACATAAAGAAATTCTTTCACATGACACTAGCCGCATACTGTCTGAGCTCCAATAGTCTGGTTTGGGACACTATTGTAACAAAACATTCTCATATGCTTTAACTGCATCCATCTGTGGGTGACAAATATCCTGAAACATCTTGAAATTTAGACAGCCAAAAGTACTATATTATTACAGATGATGCCCCAGTATATCAGTCACTGCTTCTACAGTAACTACTCACCAAGCACATGCTTCCCTCCACTAAACTCTACCAGTCTCAAGACAATATGATTTCTATCTCTTGTCACTGATGAAGATCCTGCTACAAGGCTGTCACCTTGAGGATGCAGCAGAAGTTAAAATGGCATCAAAGACTGCACTGTAGGAGAACAGATGTAGTGGCTTCCAGAGATGTTCAAAGTAACTGTATGAATGCTGGCAAAAGTGCATAGCTGCTGAAGGACATAATTTTGAAGGCAACTACATCCCAGAACTTTCTGAAGCAATTGCACATAAGTTACATTACCAAATAAAAATCAATAAGAAATGAAAACATATAACACAGGTTATAATTTGGATCTGAGGTTCTCACAGCTCTGACTATGAAGAGAGTCTTCTTGGTTGTAATGAAGTGTACTTCATAGGCAGCCAGATACTTTTGACTGACATAGTGCAAGCACCAACTGCTTCTACTGGTTTCTTGTTTTCCTTACTCTGAACCTGAAGATGCAGGCTGTCTCTGAACTACATAGCATTGCAACCCTGAAGACAGTACTATTTCAAGTAGTTACTATGGGATTCTGACAATGGTGTATAACACATAGAGATATTGGGTTTTCAGACTGGATCCACTTTCCGAAACGTCGTGTTTTTCTTAGTTATCTTAAAACCAGGACGATGGATAAAGTCTGAAAACCCAATATCTCTAAGTACTATTTCAATTATCACATCACTCAACTTTCATGGAAAGTATAAATACGTTATTGTCTTTAAATGGTAGTAAAAATCTTGGATGATTACAGTACTGAACGTAGTTTGGTCTTCCACCATGCCACACTTCCATGCAGTTTCTGATCCTAAATGCTATTTCATAACACCACTAAGAAAGCTCAAATATCATCTGTACATTCACTGGCCCATGTGCCTTCATGGCGCAGTGCTTAGTTACACACATGGAAAACTTTACTTTACCTTTACCTATCTTATGCATACTTACCTTTAACTTATGCCCATTCTGTTATCACGAAATATTGCCTCTCAAATACTTCTTGACCATGTATATAGGAATATTTTTGCAGGGTCAACCTTCCTGCCCATTGCAATGACAAAGTAACTGCTCCTACTGCTATTACAACCAGTATCAGAGATTTTAAAATAATCCTAAGAAACAACTCATGTGCTAGATACTTCATTTATAATGAAATATAAATTCCGGTTCTGATTAACTGAATTTTGATCTATAACTTATTAGGTGTATTAACGCAGCCGTCGACACAATAATGACACCCACTCTGGCACCCTTATGATACACAAGGGGATATAAACAGAGACTGTAACTTATTATTTTGTAATCAATCCCTTGCACTTACGCATGTAACGTTCAAAATCTGGTCGTTGTTGTTGCCATGTCGCTTGTTACAATAATCGTCGTGATTTTCTTAAAACAAGTATCCTGTCATCACGAAATTCTACTCTACAGTCAGGTTAGTGACATAAACAGTTTGAGAATGAAACTTTTCTAACATTTTATACCTTTCTTAGGTGAATCCGTAACTCCACCTTCACTGTCACAATCATCAGCCATTACTACTGCTGATATTGCATTAATCTTCCATCTAAAACAAAATTTTGTAACACATCTTTCCAATGGTCGTTACAGTCGTTACCACCGGCAAGCACCTCCACCTACCACCCTTCACCTTTCGGCCACGGATCACCGCAGAACGCGTGTTACCATGGGTATTTGATTCTGTGGAGCACAAAGTTTCTTGGTCGCGCGGTCCGCACGTGTCTTGTATTCCGTGGTCGTCAGGGTCATCAAGGATCTTCAATATGCAAACATGATGTAAGTTGACATAGAGGAGAAAGTTTTTATACTTATTTTTCATCGACTTTTTGTTCATCTCTTAACTTGCTTTTACGTTTACACGTATATTATCACGTGTATGAGTAATTATAGACGCTGTTTGGATTGGTAATTAGATTTATTGAACGCTTTCAGATCGTAACTACACGCAACTATAGCGGTATTGCTAATTCACACGCACTGCAGTTCACTTTAGCACGTACTCACTGTTCACCGTCTGCTGTGCCTACCATTTTTCCTCTCTGGATGCTGCCTAGTAATGGCCGTTGTCTCGTTTTTTGTTTTACGGTCGTTTCATAGCAATGGGTCTGTGTGCCACAATCTGAAGAAATGTAAAAGCCCAATTTTATATTAATAATCTGACCTCTTCTTGCGCGGTCTTTTTTCATAATATCCTCTATTCTGCCACATTCTCCTATTGAGCATGTTACACTTGATGAACCTTACCACATATTCATGTAATAAGAAGTGCATCAGCCCAGGATGTCTCGTATAAAAATATTGTGGTATATTTTCTGAAGTCAAGGACTGTGAAGTCAGCAGAGATAGCCGTTGCTAGGGAAGAGTTTAGCAAACACCCGTTGCAACAGTGGAGTAACTTGGGAAAAGTGTTATCTACACGGCTCGTGTGATAGCTATGTGACACAACAATAGAATAACTTTTGACTGAGTTTCAACCGTGTGGAGTCGGGGTCGAATACCTCCATCGTGACCCTCTGAGTCGTAGGAGGCGACGAAAAGGGAAGTAAAAAATCTGAGACAGTAAAATATGGTCGCGAGTACCAGGGAACTCGGACCCGAGAAGGACTGCGCTGGTAAAGACCAGCAGCATATACAAAAGACAGACCCGTCCTCTCGTCAGAGAGGGCGCCCCAGAGAAACAAGACCGTAACTGTCAAACAGTAATAAATATCTGGTCATGAGCCCCATATGAGGCTCGGAAACAAGACTTACTGACTGACTGACTAACCGTCAGTCGCAATGTGACTTTGACTTTGACAGTTGAGTTTCCCCCGTGTGGAGGCGGGGTCGAATACCTCCACCGTGACCCCGCGAGTCGTAGGAGGTAACGAAAAGGGAATTCTCCAGTCTGAGACAGTAAAATATGGTCGCGAGTCCCAAGGGACTCGGACCCGAGAAAGACCGTGCTGGAAAGGGCCAGCAGCATATACAAAAGAACTCTCGTCAGTGATGGCGCCCCACAAAAATAAGCCCGTAACGGTCAAACAGTAATAATTAATATGACACCAAGACTTACTGACTGACTGGCCGTCAGTCGTAATGTAACTTTGACTTTACCAAAAACAGTTCAGGTGACTAGACTGCCATTGTAGCGAAAGCTGCTAGAAATAGGGCATAATCTGCTGTACTGAGCCTGGACTGACAGAGGCCCTTTATACATTTAATACATTCATTATCATGTTTAACATGTAAAATGTAAATATCCTTTACGTTATTATAAATGACTTACTACTATAGACAATGGCTGACAAAAGTCAGACCCGTCCTCTCGTCAGAGAGGGCTCCCCACAAAAACAAGACCGAAACTGTCAAACAGTAATAAATATCTGGTCATAAGCTCCAGATTGGGCTCGACACCAAGAATGACTGACTGACCGTCAGTCGCAATGTGGCTTGTTGCGGTGTCTGGTGTATATACCACGTATGAAGCTTGTTGCCGAGTGTCTGGTACACACCTCCGTGTAGAGGGCTCGAATAGCCCCATCGTAGCCCTATGAGCCGTAGGAGGCGACGAAAATGGAACCGAGTGCCTGGGAATATAACCGGGCAGCTTCTGTTCCTGGGGGATATAAATTCGGGGACCTGGTCCTCCAGGTTTGGGGAGTCTCAGTCGGAGTCAGAATTACTTCGCAACTGGCGGTTTACCGCCGAACAGTTGGGTTTGGTGACAAGCCCCTTGAGACTCACAACCAACATTTTCTTCAACTGAACACTTGCGGTCATAGTCCCTATTTAACATCCTCTCTGACGAGAAGGTGAGTCTGTCGTTTACAATTGCTGCCGGTCCTCATCAGCGCAGCCCCTCGGGACTCGGACCTGAGAATGTCTGCACTGGTGAGGGCCAGCAGAAATTGTAAACGACTGACCCACCCTTTCGTCAGAGAGGATGTTACACAAGGACTATGACCGCAAGTGTTCAGCTAGAAAAAAATTATTGTACCCGAGTCTTCCGAAGCGGTAAACTGCCAGCCGTAAAGTAACTCTGACTCTGGTATCCATTGGATGGTACCTGCATCATTTCGTCGTGATTCGGGTTATTTCTTTCACACATTTATTACACAATCTTCAGATTATGCAAAAAAATGTATATGTTCAATAAGTACTGGCTCGTAAATGAGTTATGCCCAGTGGCGTAACTCATATACTCGTTTCTTTTTTGTTCACTTAGGTATAATTTTAATTATTGTATTGGGGTTTTACTCAGGTCTGTCTGGTAGAGTTAGGACGGTGTATATTTTCAGTCTATGTCTAATTTTGCTATTGTCTAGTAGGTTCACTGCTAGTGCATCTGTGTGGTATTATAATTTTCTGAAGTATTCCACTTTTTACTTCACTGAGCACTGTGTTCATTTGTAGATCTTCGTGGATCCTGCGGTTGTTTATGTACTAAGGTTCATTCAGAATGGATCGGAGTGTTTTGGATTGAAAGCTCTGAAGGATTTCGATGTTGAAACTGGAAGCTGTCCCCCATAGCTGAATTCCATAGGTCAGTATGGGTTTGAGTACTGCTTTGTATAGGAGGAGTTTACTTTCTAATGAGAGTGTTGAGTTTTTTCCAAGTAACTGGTGCATTTGTTTCGATTTTTGGTTCAGCTATTTTCTTTACCTTTGATGTGCTTTGCCCGTATCAGTCTTCTATCGAGTTGCACGCCCAGATACTCTACTTCGTTTTTCTGTCTGAGGAATTTGTCCGTTGGTCACTCTCCTTGTGCCTTGCGTGTGTTGGTCTGAGCGATGATCAGTCTTTTCTTTATGGAAGTACGCGGATATGAATATATTGACTAATACATTTGTGCACGGAAATAGTTCCTTGTTGTTAACTATTTTGTTTTACAGATGCTACCAAATTTACGAAAAGCTCTACAACCGCACACGGCCGTCACTTCTTACAACCGTTGTTCACCACTTCTCGTGACCGTTGCCTATCTATCTTTATGTTTATTTATTTGTTTGCCCGCTTCGGTAGAACACTTTTGACTCTTCTCAGGGTTGTGCCACGGTAATAACTGGGGCAACGCGGAGACTGCACATTTAAAACTAGTCCACTGATACAAATAAATACTCTATTTTCTGCTTAATCACAATATTGTTTATTTCAGAATCAAACTATAACTTTATCGGCAAGTGCGGAGTAATGTGCCCTTTTTATATTATCAAATATTAATCGAACCAAATAAAGAGTGTTAAATTTAGATATACTTGGAGAGTACAGCTCAATACGTCTGCCTTTGTTGAATTCTGAACGCCAAGTGCTTCTGCCCACTCTATTCTGCGGGAGCGTCACTTCATCACCGTATAGGATCTGAAGACGGCCTTTCTCCCCAGACAAGAATAGTTTTCTAATGGCTGATTTTATCTGCCAATTCATCATACCATCAGTACAAGACAATCACATTACTAACTTTTAGAATGAAGAGATCCAAATATATTGAACCTGGAACCCTACATGTGAAAGCGCTTATTTCTTAGTTTAGGGTCTAATTACACCCTTTCGAAGACACTTTAATAACAGCTACCCTTTTAGCAAAACAACATTTACATGTTCTGCAACTACAGACATGTCTTTTCATAATTGCCTCAACCCTCTTGTGGTCACCCAAGCTGCAGGTAACAAAACAAGGCAGTTGTTCCTGTCTAAATGCGAAACTTCTTAATGGATGGGTCTCCCTTATAAATCAGCCACTCTGTTGAAATGACTAAAGTGGAACATAGTGTCCATTAAAGAGTATTAAAAGGTTTGGACGGTTACAGCTCGTTCCTGCAGTTTCAATACAAAACCTATTTTATAGTAAATGCAATAGATAGTCAGTTGTTTTGGTTGCTGCGTATTAACTAGACGTTACCTGGTAACAAATTTTAACAATGAAAGTTCATCAGCTTTTGCGTTGACGTCTTCGCTCTTTGAGCTCCAGATAGAGACAGTTCTTTACTGTTCACTGTTTGTTTTACGGATGCTGTCAAACTTGCGAAAAGCTCGTTTATGCAGTTTCAATACAAAATCCATTTCATAGTAATCACAATAGATAGCCAATTGTTTCGGTTGCTACGCATTAACTAGACGTTACCTCGTAACGAATCTTGAAACGAAAATTCACTGGCTTCTGGGCTCACCTCTTTACTCTTTGACATCCAGATAGCGACTGACTTTGAATTTGACTTCAAACGAATTATACATATGAAGAAAGGTCTCGTATATACATTACTTGGAATTCTGGTGTGCCTGCAGCAACAGACTGCTGAATCGCGCCATGTCACTTATCACAGACAAGAAGAAAACAGGTAGGGATACAAATGTAAACGAAAACATTCGATTCTTTTTGTATTCACTTTATAGGGTACTAAAAGCAAGTAAAGTAAAAGTTAAGGTATCCCTGTAACAGTCCGTGGAGGCCCATATGGTTGTGAGATGTTGAGGTTCCCACATTTTCTAGACAATCGGCTAACAGATGGCGGCAAGGTTGTCAGCCCTACGCGCCGGCCGCCCTTTACCCCTAAGAATATTCCAAGAATATTCCTGGTACTCATTTCTGTTAGAGGCTGAATCGACCCCAGGGCCATAGTGCGGCTGGAAGGATTAGGTAAAGTGAAAAAAATCAAATGACCTCGTCGGGACTTGAACCCGCGACCTTCCGGATTGTAGCACAGTGCTTCAACCAACTACGCTACCGCGTGCCCCCTTTCTAGATTACTTCTAATTTATAATCGTTTTATACATAATAAATAATACATGTAATTTGTTAGCTTATGGAATGCACTTAGTCTCCCACTATGATTTATCTCAAGCAATTAAATAATTTCGTAAATTGCTAATTAAGCCAATAAAAATATTTTGTTTCGAAATTATTATGTGGTGAGAAGGGCGGCATGTGATCACTTTTCTGGTGCATTTTTATGAAGGAAAATTTATGTTTTCTTCTTAGCCAGATAAGTACCAAATGTTAGAAATATGCCAGTTTTACACGTATATATTATAATCGTAGTTCTCAAGATTCAATTCGACCTAGTGGTGCAACATCATGTATTACTATTATTTCATAGCGTGTATGTAATTGTCTGAAATCAAGTTTCTATAGTGTCATTCTTGACTGCTTTCCCTGCAGCAATCGAACTTTGTTAACTTTTGTTTAAAAAGAAATAAACATTTGCCATTTCCAAACAATAATGTGGTCGCGGTGTTCATAAATAAAGATGTATGATGGATTTAGTTCGTAGAGTGTTAAAATGTCACCAGGCGCCTCACATCAGTCAGTACCAGGTTACCAGAATCACAAGCAGAGAAAAGCCTGACCACACACCCACTTAAAAATACTATTTTATGGGAATATGTCCCCCTTATTCCTTCGTACCACTGAACTGCACACATGGATAAACATGGTTCTCAATGGTTCTTAGCCTGTAATTCAGGAACCTAGCACTTCGCGGACCGGACGCCTAGGCCTAGGCGTTTGGGTTTTAAACGTGGCAGACCGGTCGCCTAGATTTAGGCTTTTAGGACACGTTATGTTGCAACACACTATTCCTCGCTTTGGTGGCCACGTGTCTGTAAAGGTACTGCGTAGCTGGCCTTCGGAATGTTTGTTTTCGGAGTCAGCAACGTGATCACTCTCTATTCCCCTCTCACTCTTAGAAAAGTCCCTTTCTTCAAGTCGAAGCTTCTATGTGTGAGGCCAGATATGCTCAGTGTCAACATGGCTCAGAGACGAAAGTAGTTGAAGGCAGGGCGAGCTCTCGGAGAATAAGAAATCTGTGATTTGATCTCCGATGAGTTATCTGACTTTCCAAGTGCTTCGTCTTCTGATGGTGAGGGCAGTGTCAGTGGCAATGACAGGGGCCCCCAAAATATTATGACCAGAAGAGAAAGTGAAAGTGACAGAGCTGGGATGAAAGTTCGATAGCTAGCATTGCGGGGACAGCCGCATGGGGTAAAGTGGACAAAACACCCACTTTGGGAAAGTTTACTGGTGATCCAGGGGTGAGACAAATGCCATCGGACCCTACGCAAGTGTCTGAAGTAGCTGAACTGTTTTTTCGATTCCTTGGAGGAGAAGGCTTCGTTTTCGAACGTATAATCCTGGGAAACTCAAAGTATGGCCTACTTGTTCGTGTAGTCACGGAAAGCACTTCATGCTATATTGGAAATTTAGAAATTTATTCCGGTGAAAGCAAGAAATTGCAAGAAACTATTGTTTCCATTTTGGATCCCTATCTGGATCAAAATTATCACGTTTATCAAGATAATTTTTATAACAGTGTGGCAACTGCAGAATACCTACTGTCAAGGAAAGTACGTATTTGTGGTACAATTAGGGTGAACAGAGGCCTTCCTCCAGACCTGAAAGAGGAATGTAAATCCCTGAAACGTGGTGACACCACATTCAGGAGGAAGGGGGACATTCTTCTTCAGTCCTGGAGGGATACTCGCGTTGTGAATATGATTTCCACTATTCACAATTCGAGCATGATCGATGTTCAAAGACGACACGGGCAAGTGAAGAAGAAGCCTCTTTGTATTTCTCAGTACAATATGTTCATGAAGGGAGTTGATACAGCCGACCAATACTTGGCCTCTTATTCCCTTCCTAGGAAAACAGTAAAATGGATGAAGGGAGTTGCCTTGTGGCTTATAAATTGTGCCCTTTTCAATTCATTTTTGTTTTTCAAAGAGCTAAACGAAAATTCAACTTTGAAATACAAGGCATTTCACATGAATGTGGCAGAAGCCTGGGCTACAGACCTCGCGCTGGCGGCAGAACCTGCGTTAGACACAGACGTAGTACGACCGGGACCATCTACTCCCACCCAACGGAGGCCTCATAAGGACCCTCCTGGGCGACTCTCAGGTGATATGCGGAAAGATACCCTCGCGAAAATTGTGATGAGTGAACAATCAACGGGGAAGTATCCTTCTAGGCAGTGCCGTGTGTGCGCTGTCCACAAGAAGTGAAGCAAGACTTCCTACGTCTGCAAGTTCTGCGTTATGCCTCTTCACAGAGGGGAATGTTTCGAGAAATATCACACTCTGAAGCACTTCTAGGAGCTCTGCTAAGTCTTCTCCAAAAATTTCAGTTCATAAAATTAATTAGGAGATTTTATATTAATTTTTAAAGTGAACAGTGCACAAGTTAGGGTAGTAGGTTTAAAAACGCTGGTCCCCAGGGTGATTTAAATATTTAAATCACCGGTCCGCGAAGTGCTAGGATTCCATAAAGCAATCTCCTGATTCCAGGAAAGAGAATTGAGTTATGGTTGAACCCCCTCCTCCCAAAAAACTGAAATTGTAATTTGTTTTTGTTAAAATCTGAAAGAGCATATTATGATGTGCTCTCTATCAATGACAGAATATGTTTTCATTGTACATACCAAAGACTTTGTTGTGGGATGTTTATTATCACATTAGTCACTGATTACTTCAGAGTTGAAGGAAAATATTAAAATATAAAACACATATTTAAGAAAAAAATGCAAATTGTGTTGAATTGAGAGACCTTTTCTGCCCTTGTATGGTAGGGTAATAGCAATGATGTGCTACAGAAATGTGATGGCTGCCCCATAATGAATTGATCTGAAGACATACACTGTACTCATACCACTGTTTCTAACCAATCCACACAAATTTTAGGAAGTTAAATTTAATAGTTTTGTTGAAAGTTTCAGTGGCAGAGTTTTGTCTTCTGGGATATAATGCTGTGTAGTCCATAGAAAGTTGAAAATGGAGTTGAGAGGCTTCTCTGAAACATGGATTAACTTTTAACAGACTACAAAGAATTATATCCCAGAAGATAAACCCTTCATCTGATGTATTCACTGCACATACGTGCACTGTCCAAATGATTCCATGTCACATGAAAACTGAACTGGACACTGATGATCTTGGCCAATGCTTTTTGTGATTTTCTATAGTCCTTCCAGACAAATGTTGGGATAGTACTCCAAATTAAGGCATGATTGATTCATTCTACGTCCTTTTTTATATATTATTTGCTAATTTTACTACCACTCAGTGTTAATATAATCTACTGACCATGTCATTAAATAAAGCATAAAGAAATTAACATTTTCAATGAATTCTATACATTTTCTGAAAACAGCACACTATAAAGATACTGGGACTTGACTTAAAGTGCAGATCTCATTAATAACTCTACTTTTATCTTAAACAATTGCTACTGTACTGAATGGTGAATGAAACATTAAAGTATTATACTGATGCATAAATTATTGTTGCTAGTATTTGTGCTGTTTATTATCTTTATAAAACCGATTTTATCTGCAGAAAATTCTCAGAATAGATGAAAAATAATAAACAATCAAAACATTTGGGAAACCCAAAACACATATTTTTACTAATCTGTCATAGTGTGAGGTAACATTTGGAGAAAAACGTAAAGCTATTTTTGGACTGTGAGATCTGAGGTTCTTATGGTGGTGAGCATCAAGATGATGGTCTTCTGGAATGTCATGCTGTCTCTTCAGCATAGAAGATGGAGGCAGCATATTCCTTCAAAATTTTGGTAGCCCATGTACAAATCAGTGCTGTACCACATCCCAGAAGAATATAATCTTTATGTTCAGGTAGCTCGTTCTGAGGTAAAACTAGGACAGCTATTTCTTAATCGAGCATTGTTTAGTATTATCATCTCATTGCTACTGTGCCCTCCACATCTGTAAATAAGTAATGATACCAAAATGGGATAATGTTGTTTCTGTTCTTAGGCTAACCGCATTCGATCAGTCCAAAGCAGAGCATTCAAGGCAAGACTATGAAGTTAGAAGGCAAGATGACATTAAAGAGGAAAATAATAAATACATTTACAGTCAAGAAGTTGGCCATTTGAAGTCATCTACAGTTGCTGAAAAAGGTATAGGTAGTGAATATCAAGGTCTGGATGCTTCATATGGCAGCGCTCTACAGAACAGCATGCCTTCAGATGTGTTAACATACAACAAACACAAAACTAAAGACCCACATAAGGATAAATTTCAGCAATCTGAAGAAATACTCAGAGATCTGTGGATTTTATAATCCAAAGAAAACCTCAGTTTTATCACATTATAATTTACCTTTGAAAAGAAAATTGTCAACAAAATATGCAGAAATTAGACAGAAGCGTGGTCCTTATCTCTCTTCAGGTAATCAGCTATTTTCTGACAAATTCCAAAGATTGCAACCTGCAAATAGACTAGGAATTCTTGATGTCAGAAAAGATCCAAGAATAACAAGTACAGTATCTCCTGATAAACAAATTAGTACAAACCACCACAGAATTACATACAAAGAGGAAGGATATTCATTACATGCACGGAAACCTTTACATGGTCACAAAATTACTGACTCTTTTCAATCACGATACAAACTGATGACTTCCAATCTACTAAATTCTGGAGAAGCTACTCATAAAAGGCCTACTTTATTTGTTTCAGAAGGAGATGATGCATCAGAATTGACCAGACGCCAGGTTTTGAACAATATAAAAGTTAACTCAGCCAATAAGAGACAGCTGTCACCTTCAACAAAGGAAGAACTGTATTCAAAAGGAATAGATTCTAGATTGGAGAAGCAGTCAAAATCTGAATCAGAGGAGGACACTGAAAACAAACACTTTAGACACAATAATTTTGCTTCAGTTGCAGTAAATCTTGCTTTTCCAGCAAATGAGCAAGTAAAAGATGAACCACTATACATATCACTCTACCGCAGTACCAGTGACGCCCAAACGCTTCATCAGAAGGACACTAATCATATTTATAATCAGAAACAAAACTTTGCTTACCCAAAACACAGACCTTCCAATGGTAAAGTCACATATAATAAAGAACAAATGGAGGAAGGATTACGAGTACATAACAGATTTAGCAGAAGGATACATAATAAAATGAAAATGAAATAAATTCTGCAAACAGTGAAGATATGTTCAACAAAGCCAATGATCATTTTATCAGTGAAATTCATCAAGAGACAGGCTTCAGTGATGTTAACAGAGATTGGGAACATGGATTTGAAGACACTGTTGCAGATAATGAAGAAAAGGAAAGTAATCCATATGACACCGCACATGGTTGACAGAATCCTTTTGCTTATGGATATATGCCACAAGATTTCGAAGATGAAGAAGAATCATATGATAATAGACACGTGTATGTTAAGGATGGTGGTGATGAAAATTATGATACCACATATGATTATTCTCATAAAATTCAAGAAAGTCTTAAGAGTGGTGGCAGTAACATAGGACTGCAAGCAGTTTATCAACAGGAAGATGATGGGGTGCAAAGAAATCTGAATCAAGCAAAGATAAAAGGTGACACAAGCTATTATAAACATGGCAATAGCTCTATATCTTCTGAAAATGGGACAAAAGACAATGAGGAAACAGAATACATTATTCAATCTCGAATTGAACATTTGAAGGACAGAATAAAAAGGAAGATGACCAGTGATATGGATCAAAACTGAAATGCTAGGGCCCCACCATACAGTAATGTTGCAGATTGTTATATTAAATGGGGTTCAAGGAGGATAGTTGAAGGAGTCATCCGCTGTGAATGTAAAATATGTTAGAAATAGTGGTTCCTAATGAAAGATTTCAGTGACATCAATATAAAACTAAAGCAAATATTATTCAATAAATGAACAAGTTACAAAACTGAGTTTAAAGAAGTTTACACGTGTTTGCATTTGTGGGTAATCGATGTTCTAAGAAACAACCATATAAAACTATAACAATTGTATATGTTATTCTCGAATGTACAGAATAGTTGCTGACAAGTTTGCGGGCCCTGAAAAGGGCCATTTGTTCGACCGTGCTTGTGCTAGTAGCATTAGCTGCTTTGTAGCAGACCAGGTCTTCTTTATGGCCATTCAGCTGGTCTGGCTGGCCAGTGATGCGGTGCTGCGTGCGCCAGTAGGAACAGCTGCTTATGCTGTGGATGATGACGGAGCCATTGTCTCGACACGGTTGCTGTAGAGCCTTTGCTGCTTCATGACATCAGAGTAGCTGCATTAGCTGTCTTTGTCATAATGAGGACTATTGAAGAACTGATGATAGCGAGTTTTGAGCTCCACCTTTTATACCATGCTTGTTGGGCTGAGCTAAAGTTGCAGTTGCAATTGCGATTGTGAGCACTGATTGGCTAGCACATGTGATGATCTACAGGTGGGTTGGACATTGAGTGCTTTATAAATATGAGTGCTGGCAGCAATGTGACATTGACTTGGCTTGAGCAAAAGCTGAATGCTGTCTGTTAGACAGACGAAGTGCGTGTTAGTATGTGGGTGTTCCCACACATTTTTCACATGAAAAGAAATGTTCTTTCTCAGATCAAAAATTTCAAATAAGATCTAAAAGTATGTGACAGTGATACATTAATACAAATATATATTTATGGATATTATCCATTGTTCTGTTTTTATCTACAACACTATCCTGTTTACATTTCAAAACACAACGTTTCAGAGACTGGATTCTGTCCTCACCTAACAGGCGAAACCTATTCATTTGGGCCCAATTGATAGAGCTACTCCCTATCTTCGAAACGTTGTGTTTTGAAATATAAATAGAATGGTGTTTTAGATAAAAACAGGGAGTTGGATAATGTCCAGAAACAGAATATTTGTAAAATTCCGAAGCTGAACTTAATTTTCAAGCACTGAATTTTGTAATGAAAAGTTAAACAACTCCATCCGGAGTGACTGATAACATGTTTTCTTTCTTTCCTTTTTAATCTTTCATCCTTGACATGTTTCGGTCTTAGAGATCATCTTCAGAAGGATATATCAATACAATACAATACAATACAATACAGTTCAATTAATCTGTTTATAAGTGTGGCTTAAAAAAGATTTAATTAAAATGTAGAACCAATTTGGTTCTGAAAATTTTAGCAGAATATTTTTTTAAACCACACTTATGAACAGATTAATTTTATTGTACTGACGACCAGTAATTTCATTTTCCAACTGAACACTTGTTGCTATGGGCCTTAAGTAACATCCTCTCTGATGAGAGGATGGGTCTGTCATCTATCACTCCTGCTGGTCCTCACCAGCGCAGTCATTCTGAGGTCTGAGTCCAGCAGGGTTCATGACCACATATTACTGTCTCAGATTCTAGCTGCCCTCAACCTGCAGGGCCAGGTCCCCATATTTATATCCAACCAGGAAAAGGGTGGTCCCATTATAACCCCAGGCATTGGGTTCCCTCTTAATCATCTTGTACAACTCGCAGGGAAACTCCTCCAGCTTGTCTGGTGTCCTCGTTATATAATCTCAGGCAAGGCCTAAGAGAAAACACCGTTTCCTAACAATTCCTGTATTGTTATAGAGGTGTGGTTTATCTCGCCGTTGTATAGATATGGCAGTTTTTCTGTTGTTGCATGTGTGATTACCAAGCCGTTGCCTAGTAATTAACGTCTACTCTAGATCCGCTATTCCGACTTTCGGGCTTCAAGTCACAATATAAATGACCAGCTAAGAAGTATTTAGGTGTGTCCTCACATCAATATGAAAATGGGGTGGGATAATACCTTGTAATAAATGGGACCTTCCTGTGATGCGTTCTCTGTTACTCATGACTGTAATTAACAGTGACAAATGAAATACCGTGACAGAAATAAAACAATTAAAGGAATCGGAATTTTTATTATAAACTTTATTGTTCTTAACACTTACCATTTTGGGGTCAGGCACATAGTTAACAGAAGTTGGTGTTTTAGCTCATATATACAGACATAGTGCAACAATATGCATATAAGTCATAATCTCACAAACCAGAATCTATACCAAAACATCTTTCTGTTTTTAAATAATATGAAACATATAACTTTAAAAATTCTTATAAATATATCTTATTGATAATTAAATCAGCATACAAAACAACACCAGAAAATTAAATTCCACAATTGATTCAGTAGTGCTGGTTTAAGTAGTATTATATCAGAATTACAATTTTGACCATTAGAATTTCCTTGCACTAGCATTTTGCTGTTTTCATTAAAAGGGCATCTTCCTTTCTAAGATATGTTATATCAGACAGAATAAGCAATTTTATTTCAGAGAAATAAATGCCACAAAGTCAAATTGTTTGACAATGTAAGTGACACATTGAACACGAAAATTACTTTCACTATTCGTAGGCCATGTCATAGCTCAAGTAGTTAGTCGCTGGCTTCCCACCGCGGCAGCCCGGGTTCGATCCCGGGTCTGGTCAAGTGGGATTTGTGGTGGACAAAGTGGCGCTGGGGCGGGTTTTTCCCCCCAGTAATTCAGTTTCTCCTGCCAATTTTCATTCCACCAAATTCTCCATCATAATTACTCGGTGCAGGCTACAATACAACAATTAGTGGCCTCCGTGCCGAGTGGACCCAGTTGGACTCCACCCCCCACTAAGCAAATTTAAATTAATTCACTGTTCATATGTTGCATAACAATGGTCTCTAGGAGATTTTTTTGAGTGACAATATTCATATACTAGGAAAGCCAGCTGAATACTATTTACCGTCTTAAGATAATGAAAATGGAAAATACAACATTCATTCTTGAACACAGCATCACATGTAAGAAGGAGATCAGGGAGCCTTATCATAAGTACTCTGCACAATGATCATTTTCAGATTAATTTTAAAAACATGTATGTGACCCTGTTAGACACTTGAATTAGTAGCAATAAATTATTCATATACTGTATCCAGAATAAAAGCTTATGAAGCTAAACTCTTATGATTTATTTACCATGATCAGAATGGACTGCTCTATGAAAGATGTTTTAGGCAAAGATTCTTGTTATGTAACATATAATGCATATGAAAATAAAACTAACTGTTAAGATAACGTCTTGGATATATATTTACAAGCTATATAGTAAGTTATTTATAAACAAGTCAATAGTTATAAATACTACATATTTCATTTCTCATATGTTTTGAAAAATAACTATATGAGTACAATAATATATATATAATTGCTTTAATCCACAATACTTTTTATATCACAATGTGTAATTGTCATTTAAAGTGGATATGTTGTACAAGTTCACACTGACAAATTTTCACACAAAAAAGGGAGAAAACAATGAATTATAGATGTACAGGTGCAAGTTATCTGTAGCAATTCCTTATGTAGTTATCAGACTGATGAACTAATCGTAAGTGTTGATGCTTAGGCATCAAATGTGGAAGGCAGAAAGTTCCTCTGAAGCTAACAACTTACTTGACTATGTGGATCACATCCAAAAGTGAGTAGTCATCAGATAAGAAGGCATTCTGAAAAAATTTTTGTCTGAAGTATGATTCCATAGACCTAACTGTGATGGATTTACATTAGAGCTCATGTCCTTGTCGCACCCTTACCAAACGAGCCTGATGAGTTGAAACATTAAAGGGTTAGAAATTTTTTATATACTGCTTCTGTTTGTATGATATAACTTTTGTGTTATTACTAGCTTGTTTAAATTAGATGTTTAGCTTCTCTCATAACAATTTCGGTGTATTATACACTGAAAAACATGTTCAGAAAAGCATGCTCATTTATGGCATCTGTGAGAAGTAAAAGAGAAAGTTCTGGCTCACTCCAATTAAATTTTATGAAATTTAGTGGTGGGGAATGTCTTCACCATCTGGGTGACCAAGTTTTTCTGAAAAGTTAAGCTTATATACTTCTCAAGAGTTAATTAGTCTGGTTTCAACAGTATTTTAGGAGTGTAATGTAATTATAATTTTTAAGATGATTTTTATAAAATGGCTATTCTTTGCTTAAGCTGGTGCATAACAGACCCTTAATTAAGATATTATTTTCATGTTTATAGCACGTACACCAGACTTTCTTAACCTCAGTCCCATATGGAGGTCACTGGCTGGTTTTACATTCTAGTCATTTTACCTCTATAGATAGAACCTCAGTACATATTATATATAATAACCTGTCTGAACATATTGGGGAAGACAGAAGTCTCCCTGAAATTGAACTCTAGCATTTAGCTCATACACAGTCACCTTACTGACTGAGCTAACTTGGTTCTCATAGTTGGTTTCTAAATACCAGACAAGGTGAGAACAAGTTCAAATGTCAGACAGAAGAATAACATAAGACAAAACATTTTTCTAATTCAGGATGCCTGTAATATACTTCTTTCATTAAATTTAGAATATAAATTACTATGTGCTTGTAGGTAAAGGTAAAGCTATCCCTGTAACAGCCCTTGGAGGTCATAGGGTTGTGAGATGTTGAGGGTCTAACATTATCTAGACAGTCAGTTCAAAGATGGCAGTAAGGTTGTCATTCTTATGTGCCGGCCGCACTTTACACCCCCAGGAAAATTCCTGGCACTCATTTCTGTTAGAGGCGGAGTCGACCCCAGGGCCATAGAGCAGTTGGAAGGATTACCATGTGCTCATTATAAATAAAAAATGAAGAAGTGCTGAAAGTTATCTACCTTCAGCTATTTCTGTGTTTCAGAGGAATACTGTGTGCACTACAGATATTTCCTTATTTAGGCACTCTTTTAAATTCTTTTTAATAACTGACTCCTCTATAAGACCTAAAAGTTTGTGATGATGGTACATTAATACAAATATTATATTTATGGACACTATCAATTTCCTGATTTTATCTAAAACACTGTCCTGTTTTTATTTTATAACACAACGTTTCAGAGACTGGATTCTGTCTCTATCTTCAGGTAAAACCTATTAAGCAGGGCCCAATCAATAGAGTCAGTCGTGGTGTTTCAGAGAAAAACAGGATGATGGATAATGTCCAGAAACATAACTCTTCTATTCTTTAAGAAATTTCCATCATACCATCTATGCATCAGATTATTTTGGGCATAACCTGTTTCATTTTCCTTTTTTTTTTTTTTTTTCCTCTTACAGATGATGAACTGTGCATCATTAACTTTCATCTATTTTCGGTCAAAATGTCTGATGCTGCCCATACCTGCCACAAATGCGGCTGTGTATAACATTTGATTATATAGACACTAATAAGAATGATTTTCTTAGCAAGAATTTTGATTGAAATCATCAGCAACATAACACTGAGCAGTTGATCATGATTAGGAAATACACTCTGATTTAATTGATAAATTTTTTCAATTGCAAATGTGGAACCAGTTCTTTGACTCTTTCTAAACTCTATTATTAATCTCCAGTTTGTAACATTAGTTTCACATTAAGTGAAACAGGCCTGAATATTGTCTGTGTACGTCCATTACCTTTGAATTAATAAGAAAAAAGAGATTCACGAAAAACAGTCTAAGAGATGGCCTGCTTTCAATGGTCAAAAACTGCTTCAGACAACCCACACTTTAAATATGTTGTGATAAATGTCATTTCTATTAATATCTTTTTACACAGAAAAATCACAATGACTGTATTATATGTACAGATGATGGAAGTACATCTCACAGTAGGGACTAAAATATATAATGAATTTCTACATAAACTCTGCTTACATCATCACCTAGTTATAGAACAGTTAAAAGTGATCACATATGGAATCTGATGAGAATTGCAATGAGACCATACTGTGAGAAATTTACACACTATAAGGATTTCCATCTGCCTAAATGCCTCACAGTTTTTCACACTGTGTATTATTTCTCGTTAAAATATTGTAATGATTTTGTCTCTTATGCATAGATATAATCAGATTTTGTTCCCAGTAGAAAGTATAAAGTTTTCCTTGTGTTTAATTAAGTACCAGACCATGAGGACCTATGAGAAGTGAGTGGAGTATACATCCACTCCTCACATGTGTTCTTAATCTTGGCACTAAAAGGAGATGAATATTCAGGCTCATGCCCTGACAGTTTTACTTCTAGGGTAAGAACATCTGGAACCTCTTTGGCCGGAAGTAGGATGGGCCCTAGGGTCAGTCTGGATCTGGTATCCAATCCAAAGACAAAAGGTTGTCTCTCTCTCTCTCTGGTAAAATTATTATTTTATATATCTTGATCCTTGGTACTTTTGGAAAATATATTGGATGATTGCAGGCTTGAAGAAAATTGTAGCAAACATATCCAGGATTTATCAACAGTGTACTATTCTCCTTGTCCTGTCACAGATCTGATTGTCATTGCTGCTCCCAGACATTCAAATTTTGAAATCTATTCAGATCATTCCTACATATAGTTATATACAGACTCTGTTGCTTATTTTGTCTTTGTATTATATTCATTATTATTTAGTTTTTAACTGTTTGCTTGTAGTCCAATTTATTTCTTATTCTGGAAGAGAATTTCTGCATTACCCTTCACAACATTCACATACTCCACCAACAAATTAATGAGCTCACACAGATGAATGCATCTGTGTATGTGTGTGTTCATAAAATCTCATTATACATCACACAAGTATATTATAATATCAAGTTCAGCATTCTGATTGTTTTTTTTTTCATGGCTTATTATACGTTTCATAAACATCACCATCCTATAACTGACAACAATTCCTCGTCAACAAAAATTATGAGTAGGTTAGTAGTGATGTTTTTGGCATGTCTATAACTTATGCCCATTTTTATAAGTTTCAGCTGATCTGAGGCTATCCTTATGTGAACAATTGACAATGTTCCCTGGCATGAACATCCTATGAATTTCATATGGCAATAAGTTTTCAAACTGTACAACTGTAGATACCCTTACTTTTTTGTCATCTTAGTATTTCCTGAGAAAGAAAATTGTTATGTCATTTTAGGAATTAATTTATGCTTGCACTTCTACAGGTATGCTTTTAGTAATTGGCAGTGTCTGACATAATTATAATGCAATTAACTGATTACTATTATGAAATTAAAGAGTACTCAATTTGGAAATAAAATTTTAGGATTGTGGATGACCTTTATAAACATTCAACTTTAATTTACTCAAATTCATGATAGTTACCAGGACACAGACTGGTTGTCAGAACAAAAGTGTTTTCCAGTATAAGCTAACAACTACTGAACACATCTCATTAGAAAGGTATTGAATTATTATTACCTTGTTTTAATAAGTAGGTTTCCAGAAAGTAATTCTCCACTCAATTTTTTAAGTTACTCCCTTGAGAAAGCGATGCGACTTTCAGCACCTTAAACTTAATGTTCTCACTTCTTGCTACAAAGATGCAAAGTATTCCAATAGATATTGTGCATGAATTATCATTAGAAGAGTTGCTAACAATGATGTACTTTAAAACATTGATCTGTAATTGTGTTTATAGCACCTGGGAATGATCACCAGGAAACATTCACAAAAGGAATTCTTTTTTTTTCCATTTCATTCATCCTGTTGTGTTAAAATATACAATTTCTTTATTAAAACTGTCACATCACAGAGCCAAACTAGGCACTGACCTTAATATAGTTGTGTTGTGACGGTTTTAATAAAGAAAATGGAAAAAACTATGTAGATTATATGTGCTCTAAATTTAAGAATATTATCAGTGTTCTGATTTGATTTACTTCAGTAAAGATTATTACTTTGGGCGTAATGATGGTCCATGAAATAAGGAATAGCACATAACAATTTACAAAAAATCTAATTTTGTGGGATTGTTATGTAATTACAGAAATGACCAATTAAACCTGTGGTGCACAGTTAATGATAATAATAATTTAAGTAAAAGGGAAATAATAATTACTGCTTTGTTAGCAGTAATTTTGACAGAAAAAACCGCATTGTTTTATTTTGTTACAATTTAAAAATACAGTGCATTCCACCAGTCTTCATTCATGGACACGATTTTTAAATATGTGACTGACAACAAAGAATCCCCCTTGAGTCTGACTGGCATGAACACATGACAAACAACTACTGGCAGCTTCAGTTCTTTTCTGCAAATTTTAAGACTGTTGGTTTTCTTAAACAGAGTCCAGCATTGCAATGCAATATCATATTGTGAATACTGGACTGAGTCCAACAGGTCCGCAAGACTTTAAAGCACAAGAACATTAGATTATAGTATATTTCCAAATCTGAAAAATTTGGAAGGCTTTTATTATTGCCTCTAAGGGGCTCAGCATGCTTATTTGCAGATTACACATCCAGAACCACGGCCATCATTGATTTGGCCCTCTGACTGCCTCTCTCTAGCTGCCAGTAACTGTTTAACTTCCCCTTACTGTGGCCAAGGGCACTACAGTTCATATTACAAACATCAATCATGGATGTACACTGCCATCCATAATGCTCAACATATCACAGAGCCATGGTCTAACCTTGCTTTTATGTACAATAATATGAGGTTCAGTTAATTAGTGACTGGTCCAGGTCATGATGCTGACCTGACTTAGCACACAATTGTATGCAGGTCTGTTGCTGCCAGCAGCTATGTGAACGTACATCAGGTTTTTACTCATGACCTTTGAATGAATTCACTTCAACCTCATATTAGGATGGTGACCCTAAATTGTGACGGTCAGAAAACATGGCCCAGTCTCATTAGAGGTCAGACAACTGTCTTCAGGTGTGATACAGTATATGAATTTTTTGATCAGGTCCTGATATCGAGAACCTTGTCAAAATCTTCAAAAAGTAATGAGATCCATGAGATTAAGCTTGTTATATACCTTAATGGCTGATAAAGAGTTGGGCTACTTTTTCTACAGCCTTCTTCTGGAAAGTTGCCCAGTTTCTTTCAGAATTGTGCAACAACTTTCCAGTTTTTCTATTAGCCCTCTGAAATACACAGCAGACCTCATTACTGGTTGTCACTTACAGCCTATGTTGCTAAAACAGTGCTTTTGCATATTGTGAGGGAGTATCTGACATACATAGGCATACTGTTTGATCCAGCTTGATATTACAGTGGCCCTTGTGATGGCTAGCAATAGTTGTTGACTTGCCACTATGACTGCTATATGCATGTTGGGGCCATAGTTTCAAGCACCCAGTAGCTTTTTGACGGTGTAACCTGGAACTGAATAGAAGAAGAGCAGCAACACAACTGCCAAGGCTAGCACAGCCAAGATTTTGAGGATGGCCCACTTGTAGTTATGCCACACAATGTACCGGATTGACTTCAGAGGGTTCAGGAACCACATGAAGGATGCATCTGGCCGACTGATAAACATGGTAAAAAAGAAAATGTATATATATATGCACAGGCACTGACAAAGATTGAAGCTGTGAGGTTCGAGGTTCTCTCGACATTGAAGGTTACTGTCTTCTGGGATCTAATGCCATGAAGTTTGCTAGATATGTACCAAATTACCAAGCTACATATTATCATACTCAGAAGACAGTAATCTCTGTAGGTTCAGACTGAGGAGAATATTTAAAAAGCTGGAGTTATGGGATGGAGAAAATTATATGATGAAGATCTTCATGATTTTTACTGTTCACCAAAAATCATTTAAACAATTAAATCAAGATGGGAAGGACAGGCAGTATGTATAGCATTCGTGAGGAGAGACAAGATTTGTGTACACAGTTTTAATCAAAACATTTAAAAGGAAAAGATGATTTGAGATATCTAGGCATAAACTGGAGAATAATATGTCCATGGATCTCAAAGTATAGGGGTTTGAAGATGTGAACCAGATTCAACTGGCTCATGATAAGGTCCACTTACAGATGTCTGTGAACAAAGAAATGAGTAGGAACCATTACAAATTTAAAGAGAGACCCTGCATCATGCAGTTTAGTTATGCACAACAGTGTTAATTTTACAGTTCCATAATGAAGAAACCAAAATAAATGAGGCAGTAGCATCTAATGTCGAGCCCCTCCTTTGTATAAATATATGTCTGCAATAAGTGTAGCTCATTCTAATTCCAACACAATTGTTCACGTATGCCTGGAGAGCTAGAAGTTCGTTGGTATACCAAAACAGTGTTTAGAATAAAATATAAATTAGTGATTTGGCCATGTGACATAAGAGAAGAAAGACTGGATGCAGAAAATGGCAACTGAAACGAAAGGAAAGATATGTGGGAAGGCCAGGAGCGAAATGCATGGATGAAGTGAGTACAGATATGACAAGGGAAAATAAAAGAAAATTGTGCAAGACTGGATGAGGATGAAGTGTTATCTTAATGTTCAACTATCCTAAGAAGGAACAAGGGAAAAGGTTGATTAATATGATGAAAAACAAGGTGAGGAAGGGGAAAAGAGAGGAAGGCCAAACATCACAGTACAGTAGTTGTGATTTTGAAGTTTCATATGAATACTGACTTTCCTGCTCAAGACTTTTGTGTTTGTCCTTAATCCATCCCCCCCTCATGTCTATTTTAATATCTGTCTTTTCAAGTTATCATTCACAAAAATCTAACCATTTGACACTATATATTCTTTTGCAGTTGGAAAAGCATCATTAAGTACACAATATTCACACAAATAAGTGAAAATGACAAGGATGAACAAGGAGGAGAGAAAATGAGTGGAAGAGAAAGAAGAAATGAAAGGAGTGGTAGAGGTTCAAGAATAGAGAGAGAGTGGGAGAGAGTGAACAAAAGAGCATCAGAAGTAACACTACTAGTAGTAGTATATTTGTTATTTCCTTTAATTAAAGAAAGCGAACATATAGAACATATAAACAACAGAGGCCGCACAATAGCTCAAGCGGTTAGTCGCTGGCTTCCCATCGCTGTGGCCCGGATTCGATCCCGGGTCTGGTTAAGTGGGATTTGTGGTTGACAAAGTGGCGCTGGGGCAGGTTTTCCCCGAGTACTTTGGTTTCCCCTGCCACTCTTAATTCCACCAGATTCCCCATTATCATAAATCACCTGGGGCAGGTACAATAGGCCAATCAGTGGCCGACATGCAGAGTGAACCCAACTGGACTCCACCCCCTACTATGTGAATTAAAAACAACAGACATAAGCTTCCATACTTACTTGGGTTTGTCAAGAGGATCAGGTTCATTGCGACCAAGTCCTGCTGGGTTCTTCTCTGCTTCCTCATGTGTTAGAAGATGAAGCTCAGCTTCTACCTTCCCCTGGCCCAATAATGTCGTATTCAATAACTACCTATACTGAGATTTTTCTTTCATTCAATGTGAAATATTTTATCTTATATTTAAAAAATTAACTTATTATTAAACCATGCCTCAGAACTGCTCCAGACAGTAATTCCATTGTGAAAATTATGAATTCAGCAGCTTTGTTCTTGGCTGACATGGACATGTGTAAGAAACAAAGTAAGTACATATAATTCACATTATGAATGTATGCATCATAGCAACAAAACGTCTTCCAACACCGAATTTAATATCCTCATGATAGTTATAGAAAACCTTCATACAGTGAAATTCAAAATATACCAACATTTTTATATTTAATTATATCAGAGTTCTTATGTAGAACTTATAGCCTATACAAGTGTCTTATAGAACACAAAATCCTCTGTGTTATGTGAATGCCCCCTATTACAAAGGGATTTGTCTATTAAAAGACTTCACTTATTGAAGTAAATGTACTTTTTAAATGTGTTCCTTGATAATTTTCATGCCTGACTGGCCATTAGGCTTATCTGTTTCCCAGCTAATTGCACAACAGGCACATTACTGCAAAGTGTTAATAATATTTTTATTTGTATTTCAATAAATATTCACAATAAAAATATCCACATAAAGGTTACAAATTTTAATTAGATCTACATAATATATCAAGTACAAATCCTTTATCTTGAGCAAACTGACAGTTTGTGTTCAACTTCATGAGTAAAGTAAGAATTATTTTTAAGGAAAGCAAATTGCTTGAAAATTTTTAATATAGATCACCAATACTAAATTTCGTCAAAATCAATTCAGAACTTTTGAATATGGATGTGCTCTCTACAAGCAAGGCATAAACATTTATCTCCATCAACAAAATTCAACTACCAAATAATATTGAATTTATATTGAGTTATATATATTATATTGAGTTTATATCATTTATAATATTGAATTTATTTGAGACTTATTATATACAATGGACACTACTGTAATGAAAAATACCAACCGTAAGCTCCACTTCTTCATTTTCTTTCTTGACATAGAATGGCCACCATCCCTTCACCCTCTTCTGCTTGAATATGCTCACCATTGGTACAGATCCATCAGTCCTGAGCATGTCTAAGGTGCAGAGTTTGGAAGACTTGGCACCCCGAGGGAAACGGTTCAGGTCTAGTGTGATGGCGCCTGCATTAAATCATTAGTTACATCATAAGAATTTCTGTCTGTGCCACAGTTAAGCCTGTTAGGCGCTGGCTTTTAAAATAAGATGCCTGGGTTTAGTCCAAAGACTTGTGATGGACTAAGTAGCACAAAGTACTTTCATTTTCCTTTGCCAATCATCATTCCAGCAATACTTCATACTCATCTATCTCTGTCCTTGAAATGTGTAATAGGTCTAACCAGTCAGTATGTTACCAACTGTGGTCCTTAATTAGAGTTCCACTTCTTGAACATTAAGTATGACTAATATTTCTGATGAAAATTCTATCATTTTCTTTTTTTGATACTTGTCTCATCCTCTGCAGGGAGGGACTAAATTTGTCCCTCCAAATCCAACCAAGTGCAGCATCAGAAGAGATGATAAGTTGTTGGGCCTAATGCATATATCATGGGCAGTAATATGTGAATATGGAATACCAGCAGAATGACGATTGGCTGAGGAATTAGGAATTCTCAGAATTCTCTGAGACTAGGGTAATTTATAGTTGTAATCTCTGTGTAAGAAACTTTATGATATGGACTCCTTTCCTTGAACTTGTGTTATAATTAATCAGGAAGGTTATATTGAATTAGTACATAACTCAAATGGGGAAACTAACAGACACAGAGAATTCTGATGGGGAGGAAACCTGTTGGAAAGCAGCTGCTTTGATGGTTGAAATTGAGATGGAAATGAGAAGGAAATATGAAAAACTCTGAAAGACAACAGTTTTAATAGCATGACTTAGATTAAGATGGCTGAATTATTCAATCATGAGCTTTTGTCCTAGCGGTTCTTATACCAAAAATTAGTCATCAACTTCTCCCTCACCTTATTCAGACAGACAATAACCTCATACCTTACTCTAATATTTCAGAAAAATTATGTATTATTTCATGTCAAGTTGTATATTTCAGACACTGGAGCCAGTATGAAAGATGAAATCTGCTCCCCCTGTATCCTGGCATGTATTCAAGTAGTCAAAGGTTAGTTAACTATATAGAGATACTATAATGAAGGGGCAATAAGGAAACACACCCACTTCTGAACGCTAAGACCTGTGATGACAATTTACACAGAAGTGTGTTTGAACATTTAGACCAGGAGAGTCAAAGGCTGTTTAAAACACGAAATAGGGCAGTTGTGTATTATATATGTAAGGTTGAAAAAACTAAGTCTTTTAGTCCTGTATTTAAGGGGTTCAGGGCAGTAAATGTGATTTTGTACATCTAAGAAGTATAGTGAAAATCAGTGGAACATGCTATCAAGAAGAATGCACACTCATATAACTTAGCAACAGAAAAATAGTAATTAACATATAAAACTTACAAACTATCACCTGTTACAACAGAACAAATTTTCTTTAATCATCTTCTGAATAACATGAAATACTCAAATCATGCCGCATTAAACAACAAGAACTTCTAACATATGGTGTATTCTTTAGCACAAATGGCTTTTTAAATAGTCAATCCACTCTTGTGTTTATGTAGAACTATGCAACATAAATACATAAACAACTGAAGTTATGTAGATTATTTTAAGGGAATCTACTCAACAGAGTTGAGCCATGTAATCTGAACTGAACACTGGAATTGAGCAGTTGGAATTTCTGTTTCATATTCAAGAGATCCTGGTTGTTAGTGTTAGCCCAGACTAAATATGTTTGCTGAGATTTCTTGTAGTTTTCTTTAGTGTCTTCAGTAAATACTGTGATAGAAAATTAACAGACCATGACACTTCTTTCTACATTTGTTTCACCATTCACAAATCACCCAAACACCCTACGCCATAGAGTCTATAGAGCTGGAGAAGTACCAGTAGTAAATCAGGAATCAATTAACTTATGAATGAACTTTGTTATCCTACTTTATTTTTACCTATAATTTTGTATTATATCATTAAGATATTTTGTTTTTCATAAAATCAAGAAAATGAGCAAGTCACATTCAAATAAGATCATACACAAGACAGAGCTATGAAGTATGACACATACCTAAGAAGTCATCAGCTGAGAAGTGGTCTGCATCCCATACCTGAAGCTCCAGACGAGCGGGAATCTTGCATTCTGTTTCATCCCAAGAGAAGAGAGACTCCTTTCTTGAGATTACAATTTTCTCTTCAGCTACTAGATAGTCAAAGGGATAAATGAACCGCCAATTGAAGTTTCCCTCACCCGTCAGTGAGCGATAGTGGATATCAGTGCACTGACAATCTTCCGGTCCTTTGAGCCACCTATATGAACAATGAGTTCTGGGAAGACTTATGACGCTTCAGTTTATATGGTATTGCTATCAGGAGTTACAGATTATAATTTCATCTTTGTTACACAAATAATAAGCTTCTTTCGGCTTGTAAGTCAGGGGTTTGTTTTAGTTAAATTATAACATTTATGTTCTTATGTGTTACCTATATAGGAAACACTAAAATTACTAAGAGTCCATACTACCTTCTAGAAGAGATTGGTCCCATAAAAGGAAGGGTCCCTACTGGTAAAAATAGTTTATAAAATTATAAATTCCTGAAGCAGATCAGAAGCCTTTATTGTAAAGATGACTTCATGGCAGCAACTACATTACTCTGATGCCATTCCTCAACATGTTAATAATAAACTGCGTTATTCCTCTTACATTCTACAATAGAACTTAAAGTGGAAATGTTTCAGTACTTCATAATATTTAATCCTGCAATATGGTCTTCACATTCCAGACACATTAGATTATCAAGACCATGGACAGCAAAGAATTACTTCATTATAAGTAATGAGATATTGGCATGGGCTGACAGAGATAATAGAAAAATAGAAGCAAAAACTAGACATTTTGGACCTAGATATATGAGCTTACACAAGACAAGAATGTGTAAAAGAAACTTAGGGTCAATAATACTCATGCAATTGAATAGACTACTATACATAAGAAGAGATGAATTACCATTCATGTGGAATGGGTGAAGTTACATGACCAAAAATAGCATGGAAATGTAAGTCTACAGGGAGAAGTGTAGGAGGACAAACAAGGAGACACTGGGAAGGTAAAGTTGTCCCTGTGCTTAACTAATTAAGTACTACACCATGAAGGTATATGGAGGAGTGTATGTATAGATCCATATTTTCTTAACTTTGGCATTAATTAGAGGTGAATGGTCAGCTTCACGCCCTGGTTGCTTTACACCTGGGGAAAGAGCCCCCGGTAACTATTGGATAGGAGGTTGGGTTGACCCCAGAGCCAGCCTGGACGATGTGAAGAAGAGAAGATGCTTGATCCTCCTGGGACTTGAACTCCGACCCCTCAATCATCCAGCCCATAGCCAGTTTCTATACTGACCGCACTATCTGGCTTCTGACACTGGGAAGAGGATATTGATAACTGAACAGGTATTAAATTGGGTAGCCTGTAAAGATAAGAAGAAGGAGCAAGAAGACTATGATAAAGAAGCAGAAGAAAAGAAGAGGAAGGAGAATACTAATTCCCTTTTAGAAGGGTATTTAACCTTTTGGATGATGCAAAGCTGTGCAAAATCTGCAAATGCCCCATTTCAATAAAACTTCATTCTTATCAAACTGAAATGTACATCTGCCAACACCCACCCTTTCACATAAATGTCAGACATCTTTTCTCCAGTGAAGAATGCATCATCTTCCAGCACCACCTCATCTGTGTTCCATATAATTATGCGCAGTTCATATGCCTTCGGTTTCCTAGGAGAGATGTCCAGAGCTGGTCCAGGAAGGGGCATGTCCATAGGAAACATATCCACCCACATTTCTAGTTTTCCCTGTACAAAAAAAATTGCACATTTACTGATCTATCTTTATCCAACATGATCCAAGTTACACAGATGTCTCTATGAGATGTACTACAAAGGACATGGGAGCTTCAGTATTTCAAGATGAGTCATAAAAGTCTAGTGAATAGAAGATTAGATGTACTTCAGTTGAATATTGCAGAGGGTAATGTATGAATCTGTCTACAGGTTTCATCCCCAAAACAAATGAAGATGTCTTCATATAAATTAGTATTTTGGAGTTTATACTAGAAGGCAGTATGCTAACTTTATTTTACTACATACAATGAAACCCCCACAGAACAAATTCTGTTTGTAACTTACAATGGAGACTTCATTATTGCATCAAAAGTTAATGAAACCATCTATTTCTTAACGTTACATGTGTGGAAAACCACCATGAAAAATGAAGTCTTTTTTTACAATGTGTCTTTCATTGTGACTGATTCCTAACTAACTGTCACTATTTTCTCATAACCTTTTCCACCAACTCTACTAGAAGTTTTGCTTCTAAGTTACCTATAGGTATGAAGGTCCTGTTAACCCACACTATCTTACCCCTATCTAGGAGGAAGTTCACATTCCAGAATCTAATTATGTTACAATATTATATTTAAGCATCCTGTTGCACTCTACACGATAAATGATACAAACTCCGTCCTAAGTGCAAACAATATACATTTATATGTCTTTGATCTTGTTCTTTCTACACTACATGTTTCGGCCTCTATCGGCCATCATCAGGTGTATACTCTTAACGTTGCTGCCACACTGAACCCAGTCTAAAACTTAACATTTAAAAACACAATGTCACGTTCTTCGTATTATCAACATCTACATCGTTGATATGTGTCTGGTATGTAGATTATGTTGCACACGTCAAACCCGATATTCTTGTAGTAGCACTCTAAAAATCTTTAGTTATGATGTTTTTNTGTGCAACATAATCTACATACCAGACACATATCAACGATGTAGATGTTGATAATACGAAGAACGTGACATTGTGTTTTTAAATGTTAAGTTTTAGACTGGGTTCAGTGTGGCAGCAACGTTAAGAGTATACACCTGATGATGGCCGATAGAGGCCGAAACATGTAGTGTAGAAAGAACAAGATCAAAGACATATAAATGTATATTGTTTGCACTTAGGACGGAGTTTGTATCATTTATCTAATTATGTTAGCTTATATGCTCCTTCCAAATTCTAACCACTGGGAAATGTAAATTACATGATGTCCTCTGAACTTTATCTCTAGCATTCTTCCCTTTTTGTTACACAAGATTCTCCTTTCCCTGAGCTTCCACTGACCTAGGTAGGATGCTGATGTCAAAGAATACTATGCAGGTGCATGTTTAAGGTTTTGTTACTTTAAATATCTGGCTGTATGTTGGTTGGTGCTGACTGACAAATTTTTAAGAACTCTAATTATAGCAATGAAACAGAGGAACTTAGACTTGAACACAAAGTTTGAAACAATGTCTTTGTGAAGTTGCAAATTCATAAAAGATCAAAACAGGAAGGCAGTAGTGATTCACTTCTTTGATTTTGTTTATGATACTGAAGAACAGAGGGCTAAAGCCAAGAAACCTAATATTGCTTCCTACACGTTTTATAAGTATGTATGGGTAAAATTAGTTTTGCCATCTTAGTTTGTGATTATGTGATGAACATAAAATTATGAACCCTGTTCTATCAGTATAATATCATAGCCACAGGAACTACAGATTTCTTGCATGTTATAAAGATGGCCATATGCATAATGAGTGAGGCGATTTAAATGTGAACATGCACTGAGATGGATATAAGTGGAATACGAATGGTAGAATTTAACTTTCTAGTGAGTATCAAGAAACAAACAAGAGGAACAAAGTCTGAAAAATAATATTAGTTGAGACCTGGTAGGGAAAACATTATGAAAGCACTGATGAAATTAAGCAGCATGGACATGTAATACTGTCCCTTCGAGGCCTAAGTAATAATGATAGCATGAAGCAGCCACTGGGGAGGTTAAGGACAAGAAGGAAGGCTATGTGAGGGAATATGTTCAAAAGAGAGAACAGGTACAGTGGACACAGATATAAGAGTACTTACAGGTGGACAGAAATGAACGGAGAAGGCTTTGACAGTGAATGATCAAGCCTGGAGGAAATATGTGTGAATGTTGATGACACTGATAGATTAGTATGAATCATGTATTGGTCAGAAGGCTAGCATCCTTTGCTATATTTTACATGCATTTAAGTAAAGGAACTGACTTGTTCTATGCCAGGCTTATCAGGGTTGTAAAGTGGTCGGGTTTCAATATGCTCTGGGACAAGTTGGCAGCCAATTCGTGGGAACTCGTGCCATCGATGGAGGACAGCCAGCGCCATGTGCTCTTCCAGACCTGCACATAGGATTGTTACAAGTAGAAAGACGGTCTCTGTCATGTTAATGGAAGGAAAGGTAGAATAATTTGCAGGAAAAATAAGTAACACATTTGCTTTCTGATAAAGAAACTGCAAAATCACAACCTGAAAACAAATATAAATTTCATGTTAGTGACAAAAGTGAGCTAGTAATGATGTACAGTAATCTTTCTTCAATTTGTTTACAGCACTGAGTTACTGATTTTCTTCTGGTGCTACCTAGTTTTTATAAATTTCTTTTTTATAGTGCATAAAATGTACACATAATGAGGAGGTTGTGTCTGTCCATCTACATTTCACTTAAAAAATCACCAAAAAGATTTGGGTTAAATTTGAAATAAAGGGAATATGCNCCAGGAAAATTATTTAATTAATTCCTGGTACTCATTTCTGTTAGAGGCTGCGTAAACCCCAGGGCCTAGTGCGGCTGGAAGGATTAGGTCAACTAAAAAAATCCAGTGACCTCATCCGGACTTGAACCCGTGAACTTCTGGCTTGTAGCATAGCACCTCAACCAACTACACTACTGCATGCCCCCCATATATACAATATGTATACTTCATATGATGATTAAATCAAATGAGTCTAAAACTGACTCAACACATAAAAGCTGTTCTTGATATAAAACAGAAATCTCATTGTAGTACAAAACTTTTATTTGAAATACTTTTTACATGGTGTGTACATATACGTATAAAATTAAACACAAGTAGAAGTAATACATTGATTTTTACCTAATAAGCTCTACAAACAATAAATGCTTATAGAGATTGTGTGTAACTGGATCAAACATAATTCCAATAACTGTCTTCTGATGGGCTTATACTGAACCTCCCTTGTATTAGAAATTTAGGATACAAAAGAATCCTGTAGACTCTGAAGTTCTCAAAGTGGTGGTTATGAACATATCTATGCACTGGGTTACAGTGCCATGCAGTCTGGTGAAAGCCAACTGATTCTTCAAAGAATATGTTATCGCCACTTTCAGGGTTGAAGAGTAAACTGAGCGACAAAAGTGTAAGTAAATCCTCTGCTTGTTCCCCCCACTTGGCTTACTCTTCAACCCCATAGGTTCCTCTGATAAGCTTGCTGAATTTCACAGGTGTATACGACATTATATCTAAAAAATCAGACCTCTTAAAATAAAGTAAATTCAACAAATATATGTAATAGAAATATGGGATAGAATAGCCTTATGGTTCAATTCCAGAGATCACATTCAGTCAAAAGAAACAAATCATTTGTAAAATATAATTTTCTGCCACAAGATTATACTTCTACTGCTTGGAGTCAAACAGTACAATTACAAATGTGAAAAAAGTTGAGCCTTGAATTACCTTTGGTGTTCAAATTGCAGTCACTATCATCTGCTTGTAGGAAGAATGTCTGACGTCCAACTTTCACTTTACCATTGCTGTAAGAGGGGTTATCTATCTTTCCATCCTTACACAACTTTGCAAGTATCTGAGTTGGTTTCATTGGGTCTCGCCACTGGTTATATCCAAAGCTGGGAGAAGGAAATTTATAATATAATATACAGAATTACACTAAATTTAAATCTTTTATTCAGCAAATACATTTATGTATACTAATATGAAATAAAAACTTTATTTATTGTAAAATATTTAATTCATAAAGTAAAACACGTTTTACAAACCTCTGTAATGAAGATATTTACATAATACAGAAAATCTCACATATCGTTGGATGTATAGTGCCTGCCTTCTTTTAATTTAAGAGTGGGTGAGGCTGAGTCCCTTGATAGTACAGCCTCAAATGGATATGTTGTACCAGCCCCCAGTGAGATGGTTTAATGATGAAATGATAGGTGGCAGGAGAAACTGAAGTGCTCAGAGAATAAATTTCCCCATTGCCATTTTATCCACCTTAAATCCTACATGGACTACCTTGTTTTTAAACCGGACTTTCATGCTGAGAAACCAGACTAACCACTGGAGTTACTGTACAGACTAATTGAGTTTCTGATAACAAAGCTAGCAGGTTTAACATAGCTGACACCAATGTCTAGAGTTGGACATGATTCTTATTCAGTTCCATCCACATTTGAGTCAAACGACCTGTTTTCCAATGATCCTTCTTAATATTGTCTTCCTTTTATATACTTCCGTTTTCCAAGAAGTTTCCTTATCCAAATTGTGCACATATTCCTTGTCGCTTTTCATCCTATTTACATGCCCAGCTAAATATAACCTAGAATTCACTATTCCTATGATATTAGGCGGCCTGTATAGATCATGTAAGCATTTTTAAAATGTAAGGATCAGTCTATAATGCAGACAGTTGTAACTACGAAAATCAACAAAGATTATTGTAAAATAACCAAAGATTTAATCTCTAATGCAAATGAGAGTAAATATAGAAATCAACAAACAGCATTTTTATGTAACTGACAAATCAATCTGTAATGCTAATAAAATATAAACATAAAATCAATAAACAGCACTACTGAATAACCAACTAATCAAACTGCAATATCAATAAAGGTAATAAAGAAAATCAACAAATGGCATTGTTAAATGATACAAGAATCAATCCATAATATCAGAAAGGCTATAACAAGTAGTAATAATCTTACATCAGCTTCTCTTATATCTATCTGTTACAATGGTTCTGCACCTACAGGCCAGTCCAGGTGTGACTTACTCTTCATATTTGCGAGCAATGCCACATGTGGCCCTGTGACGACTGTAGAACCGGTTCTCCAGATCAATGCGAGTCTCTCCTATCATATCATCTGAACCAACCAAATCCCAGTCCAGAATCTGTACTGTCAGCATGGAGTCCTGAGGAAATGTTGCTTCAATTTCGAAGCATCTGCCAAAAGAGAATAAAATGACACATTATTTCATAAGCATGCTGTAGTATAAGATACTTCTAAATGAACTCCATGCATAAGCTTAAGGGAGCAAACAATAATATGTGATCAGAAAAGTGAATAAGTATCACAAACAGTAACAATTTATTATTAGGAGGGTCAACCCTACAAAAATATGAATGAAAATTTCTGCTAGTATCTATCATGATACTAAAGACAAATGAAAAAGTTATAAAGGGAGATTTGAACAGTGCAAATTTACGCACATTTCCTTGAATGCTAACACAATAATCAGTGCAGTATAATACAGGATGTTCCACGACTTTAGGGCATAACTGCAGGAAGTGATTTCTTAGGTCTTTGTGATCAAAAAAGTTCATATAAACATGTGTCCGATTTTGGACGGTTATGGAGTTATGACTGTTTTAAACTCAGAATAGAAGGTAACGATTACTGACAATAAACGGAACAAAATAATAAACCAGCATAATACATGATACATTTAAAGTATGAATGTAAAGTTAACTTCGTGAAATTACCTTTAATTTGAATTTATTGGTGCTTAAAGCTGATTTTCGAAAATGCCACTGCCGGCCGCAACACAGGCTGCCGCTCGGTTTGAACCGCGCTGGACATACCAACCCACTCCTCCTTAGGTACTCTCAAGTGTCGCGATAACGAGAATGCTCTGTCTATAGCTGGCTAAAAATAGCGACCCACCAGATGGCAGACGCGGTTCACACGAGGGCGTGTATGGGAATGAAAAAACGGTCATAACTCCATAACCATCCAAAATTGGACACATGTTTACATGAACTTTTTTGATCACAAAGACCTAGGAAATCACCTCCTGCAGTTATGCCCTAAAGTCATGAAACATCGTGTATATGTACAGTGTCACAGTCTCCATCTCTGCAGTTACTCATGAATCAGCACTGCATGTAATAAGTATGCAATATCAATAGTAATGTTTCAGTTAACATATTTTTCTGATTGTTTAACTGATAAAAGCAAAATAAAATGCAGCTATTGGCTGTTGAATTAAAATATATTTGAAACAAAATACTTATCAAGATATTTAGCCTGAAGCGGAAGGTGAATTTTGTTAAAGGTTAAAGATATTTCCTCAGCTGCATGGGTGAATGGCATAAAATGGGGAAACTAAGCCTTAATAATACACTGAAAACCAACAAGGTTTCTAGATACTACCAGTGCTCTTATGCGGCTTTACCTAAATGTAACTCACCTGCCAAATACAGGATTTAGTTGTTTAGAGATGTAGTGTTCCTTGTCACTGATTCTCTTGGAGCCAAGCTGCAGTACAACATAAGGATCTGCTTTGCCATTGAGGTCCATTGGGTGCAGGTCATTTGCTTTTACTACATACACACGAACCAGGACATGAATGGGATCATTGGATGGGAGTCCTTGGAAAAACCCGTACTGTGGGTCAAATCCCATAATTGTATGGTCCTCAATGTCTTTAGGGAGTGGCCATTTGTAAACTTTGATAGAACCCTGCATATGAGACAAAATAATACATTAATTGGAGAACTCTACAAGTGTCACATTTCAATGAATTACACAAGTGAATATATCCCAAAATGACTGAGACAGGATAAAAAATAAAGTTTTATTTACTGGCCTGAGGACTGTGTGTATATGATCGGCCATGGGTTTCAAACACTTTCAACAAACTGTTAATACTGTATTACTTTGAATATAAGATAACTTCAAATTTAAGATGCACACAGTTTTTTATATGTGTGGTTTGGGGGGAAAAATAGAGGTATACATTATTCTAATTTAAGATGCACTAAAATTTTTCAGTGCAAAAAAATGTGGAAACTGTGCACCTTGTATCAGAAGAAATATGGTGATGTAAACTATGAGCTACAGTATAAAAAAGAATGAAATTAATAATGTGAATAAAATCTCACTAACTTTCATGAACTAGAGAGTAAAATTCTCACTTCATTTTCAGAAAGTTCCAAGACTGAGCTTTGGATGGGAGATTGCTTGTTCTGACTGAGACTTTTTTGTAGTTTTTCTCAATCATTCCAGGCAAATGCCAGTATAATACCTCAAGTTAGTCCATGGCCATTCTCTGCTATGTACGAGTACATTCTTCCTAGTTCACTATTTACTAATTATTCTATCATTTAGTGCTATTAGTCTGAGCTACTCAGATAATCATTAAATAAACAATAAATAAACAAGAATTAAAATATTGTGACATATTGCTCTGTGGAGGACATTCCCTCCCCTGCCAGTGGTGATGTAACAGCATCGGAGCGCTGTCACTACCACTAGTAACAGGCCAGTCAACACTCCGCTCCCCTCCCCTACAGTGAGGTGGCAGAGGAGCGGGTGTCAGGCAACCATTGCCGTGGTGACGTGGCGGGGGATGCCGCTGTTACTGCACAGCAGGAAGCAACTCTAGACAGTGTTGCCCAGCAACACCTGTAAATGGGCGACATGGCAACAGGGAAGCGAGGTGCTTTCCGTTGTCTGGCTGAGGGTCTATAAGAGAACTGCATTGCCTTAGGAGTCAGATGAATTGGAACAGTCGCCGAGTTCAGTTGTAGCAAGCGAATCGTTAACACGGAAAGAAGAATACCAGAACATGTGATTAGAAGGTATTGGGAGTGTGTAATACAGTGACACTGGTATAGCTCCCATATTGTACTGTGAATACGTGAAGACTAGTGAAGATAGAGTGAACAGATTATGGTGTAGGGTTATAAATTGTGTAAACAAGCAACTGTGTTATCAGTAATTGTAGTTACAACTTGTAGATTGTTAAATAAAGCAATTAACAATCTGAACGGCGTCTTCAGTAGCAAAACATGTTACAATATGAAGGTTTAACTCCATGTGTCACCACAAAGAGAAACGTTCAATAAGAATACTAGAAAAGATACACAGAAACCAGTGGCAGTTCCTCTGGCTTTTACGGCTCTGAAATGTGGAAGATGAGAATAATTATAAGTGAAATAAAGTTTCGGATGTTATAGGAAGACCTTTTCAGAGATGGTGAGATCAGTTATGAAAATGTGGAGCCAGTAGAGATCAAGAAACCTAATTTTTAGACCAAAACGAGACAGGTAGGACTGAATATATTGAATATATACACAGCAGTAAAACAGCTTACAGTGGGTTTGTAGATTTGAAGCACATTAACATAAATTATAACCCTTTGCCACATTACTTAACTTAATTTTATCATTACACTATCCATAGCTAACAGTAGGATCCAAGTTTAATTAAGAAAACAATGCCAAATACTCACCCAAAGATCAGTCAATTTAAATGCCCCATACAGTATACAGACTATGTTCCACTATATTAAGTGCAGTGGGGTGCATTCAATTTCATTATGTTGTACCATGTTAGCATGGTAAAGTATTAAGTTATGACCGATATACATGTATGACTGAATGAGGTGTATGCCATAAGCTTGCCTTAAATATTCCTACAACTCTGCTCTCATCTTCCAAGTCATCTCCAGTTTTCTTGCCTCGGTATAGTTCAAAAGTTTGGAGCCACTCCTTGAATCCGTTGTATTCTTGCTGCATCTCCAACTCATTAGGATAGATCTGTAGCAGGATTCACAATATTTTTAACATTTGTAATATTCCTCATTTATTTTCAGACTTCACAAAAATCTCTCAGCCTAAAATGAATGTACCAATATATTACTAGGCTATGAATAATAATTCAGTAAAGTCTGTGGCACACTGAATCATTTCATCATAAATATACTGGAAATTCTTAATTATTTTAGGTATTTTAATGTACATGGCATTTTGGGAGCTGCAACCAAACATCACAGTTGAGCAGTTGTTTCTCCTGATTTGTATATGGGAGATCCAGAACCAAATATCATTCAGAAAGCAGTATCTTCTGGAACTACTGGGACTTCTTACAAATGTTTTGGAAGAAAGAGAAATGTTTGTTTCCAAAACACCACACCTTGACCATGGGTTCCTCAGCAGTACAATTTGAGATAGTCTATACATACAAGATGTAGGCTGAAGAACAAGTATTTGATGTGAATGACATGGTGAGTACTTCGTCATCGAAGTACACATTCTTCAAACTGTGCGACAACAATAGATATTGAAGTTTTGGTTGTAACCCCTGTATGAAGGAATGGGGCACACTGTGTAGCCTATCTCTGGCACCAAAATTCTCAGTCCTTAAAGTTTAAGTGTGATGAGCTGTTTGGTCTATAACATTACAATCATTACACCTCATTATGGAAACACTGTGCGTAAGCTCGTGCCTAAACTTCCTTTTGTAAACTGGAATATCATCATAATTCAAACACTGAAACAAAATAACCTTCATGAGTGCAGTTCTCTGTTCTGTCTTCCTGCGCAAGCTCTTTGGACTGAGACGAGCAACCAACTTAGCAGTTGTAGATACACCCTTCAGAGTGTGCTTCTTTTTCTCAACGCTCTTTTCACTCCCAGTCCATGAGAGCTCACGCTTTGTTTCCTGCAGTGCTGCTGTACCAGCGGCCACTGAGTTATCTTCCAGGTAGATAGGCAACATGCCATTTTGCTGGTTCTGCATCTGTGCCATTTCCTTGCGTGCCTCTTTGCTTTCCTGGAAGTAAAGATCAACGTTAATCTATAATTGCTTGCTGCTATTCTGTTTAGAATCTTATGTTTCTATATGTCTTATTAAGACAGCTATGGATTACAATGTATAACAATTTAATAATGTTGTCTACATATGAATTCAAAACTTCATCTCTCACTCTGAGTAAGGAGCATAGATTTAGAATGTCTGAGAATAAAATGTTGGGGACAATGTGTAAACCCATGAAAGGACATGGAGAAAGTTGCACAATAAGGAGCAAGCATAATGAAGTTGAGAAGTACAGATATGAATGTGTGTCATAACTTGTCATTCTGTTTTCCATGTTGTGAATAATCACATAAGAATGTATGCAGTGAAAGTATTTATTTATTTATTTATTTATTTATTTACTTCATATCCATGGATCATTATGCATCATATAGGACAAGTCAAAGACAAGACAAAGCTGTCTCTTTCCTTAAGTACCATTCACTGACATATTGGGAATTCATGAGAGGATGGTAAAATTCTACATATTCTTTGCACTAGATGAAGTTAAATGCTCAGCTTTATGCTACCACTGCTTTTCCATCCTGAGGAAGGGCACTTGGTATACATTTCACAGGTTGCTGGGGGAACTCCACAGCTACTCTGCATGAGATGGTAAAGACAGTATCTGCCTGTGCCAAATGTTAAACTGTAGTTGTTCAGCCAATGGCCAGTCATTTGCTGACTGAGATATTTTATCTCATAATATCGAGGATTGCAAGAGTATTGGCAAAATTATTGTTGTGTTTTACACCTATGAATGATAAAATGATAATGGCTAACAAAGGGAACGTTGAAGAGTGTTATAATCTGAGATCTACCACCGTGGATTGTGATAGAAATTCACAAATGTTTTTGGAGAATATTAGCGAATATCAACTGAAATACATGGCATTATATCTGGCAAGACAGTATTCTTCATAGTCACTGCTGTGAGAACCTCAAATCTATAAATGGGACCTTGACTCTAAACCATGATGATAACCAGTTATTCCTTACTTTCACATTTCTTTGGCCCAGGTGAGAAAATGTAATATCTGAGAAAAATTCTGCATTGGATCAGTCAAACCTCATGTCTAAGATTTTTATACAGAAATCCAGCACCTTACACAAAGATCAATTAATGCACTTAATAATAGAGTTTAAAGATGTTTATTTACCTCAATCATTGCCTCTATGGATGCAAAATACTTTGTCCACCAATCCCGACTTGATTCATCATTGTCTACCTCCTCTGGTAAGCTCTGTTTCCGCTTCTTGTTAGCTTCGGTCTTTAGTTCCTTCTTAGTAGCAGGTTGTCCTGTCCCCTAAATGCATAAAAGCACATTATGAATATAATACATGGACACATTGCTATTGCAGTTATACAGATTTGCTTGTGAAGATCAGAATGTTTATAGGTCTCCAGATAATCCAGGGTTGCAATCTACCTCCACCATTAAAATAGTTGTAATGGCATAAAAATTGACTGTTAGACTGTCAAAAGTGAATATTTCTGTGATGAAGAGACAAAACTTGCTGTCAAATGCAAATCTGGTTTGAGAGTCTTTGCTTCTAAATTAAATTAAATTAAATTATATATAAAATTATATTCAATTATTTTTAAATCTGTTCTGTAACATGTAGAATTCTTATTACTCTACCGAAATTCCTTCTCCAAAGCTTTTTCGATGGCCACATTTTTCTTCTGATGCATCAGCAAATACCATTTAATTCTTTTCATTGCTATACATGAAATATATCATTTTAAAAGTGGTCCTCCTTTCATGTACATGTTTAGAGTTTGCATTATCAATAAAAGTAAATGTGTTCTGATATCTCCTGACACATTATGGTAACTCCATGTAGCATCATGCAAACTGAATTCGCATTACCATGAAACATGGAACAGAGGACAATATCCACATTTCCACATGTACTCTCGACAGGATTTATGGAAGGTGAATAAATAAATTAAATGAATGAAACTTCCTGGAAATCTAAGCATAAAGAGGGTTAAGAAACTAACTGTGGTCATCATAATTCCATCTGCCAAATAAACAGAGACAGAGAGTGACTGAGTGCAGGCACGTGTGGATGTATGTGTGTGGGTGAACATGATCGCATTTCATATTATATATATATAATACACCAAGAATATTTTAAATACCACAAACCCATATAAAGATTATTATTGGTGATCAAGATTCAATTTATGCTTATTTGCCAGGTGGATGGTGACAAACCTTAAAACCAATGCAGTGAACCAGAAGAAAAGGGCACAGAGTGGAAACATCCACAGGCTGTCTTGAGGAAAAGAAAATTCTTAGCCTAAACATGTCCTGACAAGGCATGGTGGTCATCTTTGATCTCCAAGGACCTAACATTTGTATCTTTGGACTGCTGATAATGGCAGTTATGGTACATAAATTCCCAACACACAATATAGTCCAGGATATTTGTTCTACCAACAGAAATAATTCTACAAAAAAATTGTCCAGTAACTAAATATAATGCATGCATCAAAGCTTATTTTGATTAAGTGGCAAAACCAACTTGATCGAAAGTATTAGCTTCCAGTGTACTAGATTTTCTACTGAGCCTCTCCTGTACCATGGTAATTTGCAAATAAAGATACATAGCAAAATTATATATGTTCTCTACACATAAATAAGCAGATAGATAGGAAAATATCTCATGGAAATGAATATTTAGCACTTCTCCATATTACTTATAGGATGGCAAGAAAGTGTTATTTTACTCTCATCTGCTTTATATACGTGTATACAGAGAATTCCTTGATTTAAAGTTTTCCCTCATTTAGCATTCAGGTTTAATGATCTCAAGTCAATAATCTCAGAGTCAGATTATCTCCATTTAAGATCTTCCTCATTTTATTGTTGAAATCTCCTGCACCCAAAATAAACCCTTAGTGGGCGTATATATGACTTTGATTTTTTCAATTTTATATTTAAATAATAATTAAAATCCTGAAAGACAGTGTGGAAATTGATACAGGTAATAAGTCTCACAATATGAATGCAGAGTACTTTGAATTCAAGCAATAACTCACGTAGTCCAAGGTGATTGGTGTATTCTTTGGCAACAAAGGACTTGCTTCTCTATTATCGCTGTCAACAACAACAAAATTTCCAGGCGTCATCTGATGTGCATTATTGGGATCAGAGTCTGAAAACGAAACAATAACTTGTTCATTCAGTCTCACTGCTAACATCATTATTATTAGCAACATATTTTAACATCACAGTTGAGGGGGTATCACTCTTCCTTCATATGTGAGAGGTCCCTGGTTCAAATAATAGCCTGAAGACTGGATATCCAGACCATAGTCTTTTGCATTGTTCCTTGAGCCCTTTGTGCAAATTAGGGATAATATATCCAGTAAATCCATAATGCTTTCTTTCACATCCTTTCTAATTCATTATTCACCAATCAGCCTGTTATTCAATACTATATAATTCATGGTATTGCAACGGCCATTAAAGTAAATATATAAATCATCATCTGTCTATGAACATTAAAGTGCTTTAACAAACACCCAAACTCTAACACATATAAGGCTTATAAATATTTGACTGACTCCTAGTAGACAGTAATCTTCAAACCAATTAATGAATTTTCTGATGAAATTTTTAGAGCTAGGTATTTCATCTGTAAGAATGACAAAAGCATGTACATCTACTTACTCTGTAGTTGCTGTAAAGGTTTCTTTCGTTCCTCAGCTTCCCTTTCTCGCTTTGTCATTGGCACGTACATATATTTATGTATAGAATTTATCATGTGTGTACCAACTAGTGTATATCTACCAAAACTGCGGCAGTCCACAGCTCGTATTGTAAGAGGTGGCCTATATAGCTCCTGCTCTGGCAATTCCTGCATCAGATTACACGTGAATAATATAAGTAAATTGGATTAAATAGATAGATAGGCAATTTCAAATATCTTTAGTTCTTAAATAAATATGGTTACCTGATAATCTAAGAAGAGTCATTTTACAAAATGGGGAAAAGAAATTCATATAGGGTAATTAAATAAAATCTGGCAAGCTCAAGCTTACCACCATTTCAAAAGTCCGGCGTTTAAAGGTTAATGTGTTGTTACATATCCCACAAAGCTGCTCTACAAGCAAGGTGAATAGTTGGTGGCTATTCATTGTAGAAGCCCGAGTTTCATCTCAGGTAATTCATGTAGGATTTATGGTGGAAAATTAAGTGCTGGGGTAGGTTCCTCTCAAAGAATTCAATTCTCCTATGCCTGTCACATTTTTCCAGTAGTCTGTGCTTTCATTTCCAGGTACTGATGCAATAATCCAAACTGAGCCCTAGGCTAAGGGCTCAGTATCACCTTACTTCTCTAATTATCATATTTCTAGTAATATAAATGTCTTACCAGTTCTAGAAACTTGACTGGTGTGCTGAAATTTGGGTTCTTCTTGGCGTTCTGTATTACAGATGAGTAGAGGATGTGTCCTGCACATTCAATGTCTACTCTTGGTTTGTCTACAGTCATCAGATGTACCCGTTTTAAGTCACGGAGACCCCAGAAGAGCACTTCTATTCTATTGGTGAGAAAAAGAATAATTTTCAGATTGTGAAATATTGTGATATTACCTTAATAAGAAAATTAATTCCTGTAATTTGCTTGGGAATGATGTTCAAGTGCAGACTATACCACAATTTTATTAAACTTCAATATGAAACAAATCAGTGTAGATCATTAACTATGCAACTGATGACTCTTTGTAGATGTGGGAATGCAAGAACCATGTTGTGCTCTCAACTCAGCTGATCTATCCAATTATTATCACTTTCACGATTCATATCAAGGGCAATGGATATGAGGACAATCTTAACACATAACTCCCAACTCCTGTGATCGTACAAGACTGGACTTCTGAGGAAGACTGTGCTGGGTAGTGAACAAAATGCAAGTCAATTTCACTATAGGCCTGCAAGGCCCAGTTATTGACACCAGTATGACTTGCATGCCATTACAATTGCCAGTTGGCATGATATTCAAGTCATTCACTCATCCTTAAAACGATTAAGAATAATTTCTTCTTCCATTGTTACTGTTTTATACAGTTGAAGGATGAAGAGTCTTCAGTCTCTTCTATCTTTCTATAATCTTTCCTTTTCAGTTTCTTGCCAGCTCTTTCTTTTCTTCCTGATGTCTTCTATTACCTGACTGAATGAATATCTTGTTCTAGATCACTCATAGGTCTCCCTCCCATAGTTCTGAATTCTAACTTCCTCATTAGTATCCTTGTTCTATATATTAATTTTATATAGCCAAATTATTTAGTCATTTGTATTCTAACTCTCCTAAGAAATTCTGAATTCTGACTTCCCAAAAAATTTCATTTCTATTCTGTCCCTTGTGTTTGTCACTCAACGTGTTACGAAAATATTTTCACATAATAGAATGACTCTTGATGAGGTTTGGATTGGAAATTGGATTTACTGATTAATTTAGTGCATGACTCAAGATTACACTTAATTATAGAGCCATCAGTAATTTCTATACTTTAAAAATCACTAAAGCATATGCTAAGTCTTTTCAGTCTGCTTTCACTAGTCATTTTCCGGTAACGAATATCAACAATGGAGATTCTTTAATTGCACTGATCAAGTCTTCACTTCATAGACTGACTTACAGCTGACTACTTACAACTGATTTGCCTCCTTTATAATATCCCGGCATGGATTGCATAGAAAACACCATTCATTTTTGTACTCCAGCATTTCCACGGGAACATGTTGTTTGCGAACGTATTACCCAATAACAGCTCAGGTGTATTTACTTATACACAGATTTTGCCTAGTAACAGATGTCGCATGTTGCTTCGTTGTTTGTTTCGAGGTCATTACCCAGTAATGGTCTACACGCTATGATATAATCTCCATTGCTTGGATTTTGCTCCTGTTTCTGTTTTTAAGAGCACATGTTCTGATGCTGAATGTTGGTGTCGGCTTAAATTATACTTTAAAGATTGCTTCCTGCACTGTTTTCAGATCTCTCATCTACTTCATACTGTTCCTCTCATAATTTGAGAGTACCAAGAGCAGACCTCAGAGACTGTGCCATGGGAAGGGATACCATGAAGCAGAAGTCTGCCTGGTTAAGTCATGCGTGGAATTTCAGAAGACCCCCACAGGAACCCTAAGGAGAATGGCTAATGTAGCTCCAATGAAGCTGTCACAGGTCCAGGAAGCTGGCAGTAGACAGTAATAATGCTTTAAAAACACCTCAGAAAGAAAGATGTTTCTGCTTGAGATGATATAGTTGGTTTGGAATTTTGTGTTTTATATGCTATATGGAAACAAAAATTCAGGGGCAAGACGAGTTATGAACTGTATGTTGAGGAAATCCACTCCCAAATTTCTGGCTAAATCTTCTTATGACAGTAAGGAAATATACACTTAGTTATACTATAACAAGGACATTCTAATATATACACATTGCTAGTTATTAAAATCTCACAGAATAAAGATTTTTCATTAGGCAATGGCAGTTTTACTACAAATTTTCATTTTGTAAATCAAGGCCCAAACAAGAAATTAAACAAATCTAAATTATTACCTTTNAGATATATACATTGTCCCCATCTAAATATTCAGACGACTGAAAGTAAATCATAAATATTGTGAACATGGGAAATCTGTTTTTATGTAATGCTTCAAGGATCTGCTTATAAAAATATTGAATATGTTCAAGTTTTAAAAACAAAAAAAGCTGTTCATCTTCTTTGTAATGATGTGTGAAAAATTAAAACATACCGACCTTAACAAAAGCAATGTCCAAATTTTGCCATTATTTGAACCTTTCAGGGGATGGGATCTCTGCATACTACCTATGTTCTTATTTTGTTAATTCCCTTCTCATTGTGATTTACTGGTTCCCATTAATTTTTATTTTTTTTTTAGCAATAACAATGAAAAACATACACCAGAATAGTGAAAAATAGTTTCCATCTTTACCTGTATTTAGCTAGTGTGGGGCGAATACCTCTTGGAACAGGAAGTATGGTTCCTACATCAGTCTCTAGGGTTGTCTCTAATGTTTGCTTTGGTTCAGGTAGCGATGGCAGGCCAGCTGAGTCAGATGGCGCTTGCAGCTGCAGTGTACATAAGAAAACTGTATATGTCAGCTGATGTGAATGTGTTAGCATTATGAATAAAAGGCACAACCCTATTATTTTATTGAGGCTGCTGAGTTTCGGATATACCAGGAACTTGTTCAAGTACACTGAAAAAGAAGCATCTCTCTGGGATGAGCTGGCCAATTTCAGCATAGCAGTGAATGAGAAATTTCAATTGTGGAAGGTTTAGTACACTGATAATAGCCACCATTAAAATGTAAACTGTTTGTGTCATATATACTAAGTAAAATAGGAGATAAATTTTGCACAGCCAAACGAAACAGATATTAGGTCCCTGGAAGTTTACTGTGACAAGAGAAAAATTCCTATATGATACTAAGTCAATACAGCAAAGATCCTTAAAAGAAGAATTGAAAGGAAAATAGATGATATAATTGGAGAGGATCAGTTTGGATTTAGAAGAGGAAAAGGAATTAGGGATGCAATTGGGATGATGAGAATTATAGCAGAACGAACTTTGGAGATAGATGTGTGCTTGCTTTATAGACTGACAGAAGGCATTTGACCGTGTAAACTGGACCAAATTAATGCAGATCCTAAAGGAAATAGGTATCGTGAAAGAAGATTGATTAGTAAATTGTACATGGATCAGAAAGTTAGAGTACGACTGGACAGAGGGGAGACAAAAAGTGTGAAGATTGGAAGAGGATTCGACAAGGATGCTGTTTATCACCAATTTTGTTCGACTTGTACAGCGAATGCCTTACCAAGGAAGCTCTGGATGGGCTTGGAGACTTCAAATTAGGAGGGCAAATTATTCAAACTGCAAAATATGCAGATGACCTCGTGTTGAGGAAGAAACTGTGCTACAGGGTATGATTGATAGACTAATCGAATTTGGAAGGTGCTATGGCATGGAAATGAACGTGGGAAAAACAAAAGTAATGAAAATTTCGAGACAACCAACCCCAGTCACAATAAAGATAGACCAAAAACAACTGGAGAATGTGAAATGTTTTATATATTTGGGTAGCTTCTTAAGAGATGATGGAAGGTGTACGTGTGAAATTAAATCTAGGATTGCCATGGCAAAAGCTGCATTTAGCAAGAAGAAGAATCTTTTTACCAGCAAACTTAACTTAAATTTGAGAAAAAAAAACAGTGAAATGCTACATTTGGAGCATTGCTTTGTATGGGGCTGAAACTTGGACACTTAGGGCAGTAGATCAGAAACGCCTGGAAAGCTTCGAAATGTGGTGTTGGAGAAGGATGGAGAAGATCAGTTGGACCGATTATGTGAGAAATGGAGAAGTGCTATTTAGAGTCAGTGAGCAGAGGAATATCCTACACGAAATAAGAAAACGGAAGGCTAATTGGATTGGTCATATCTTACGCAGTAACTGCCTTCTAAAAGAAGCGATTGAAGGAAAGACAGAGGGGTGGATAGAAGTGACCAGAAGATGAGGAAGAAGACGTAAGAAGATGCTGGATAACCTTGGGGACAGAAGAGGATATTTTCATTTGAAGGAGAAAGATCTAGATCACATCAAGTGGAGGAACTATTTTGGAAGAGACTGTTGACCTGTCGTCTTGACAGATTACAGATGAATGAATGATACTACATCAGTATATTTCATGGTAATTAATATAGTTCATGTTACCCAGTACATCTATTTGTTGGTACTATCTTCCCTTCCACCACAAATGTCTGCTTTCCTATGCTACACCAAGTGTGTCCCCATCTGGCCTTGGCCAGTGACTGCCATGAAGTACTAGGCATGTACATATTGCAGTATCTGTTTTCTTTCCTTCTCTTTTTCAACTACAGAAACAAATTTAAACTGTAATACAGTTACAAAGCAAAGGTAGATCAATGTATGTGAAATTAATTTATGGAATTTAGTGAAATAGTTGTGAGCTACATATTATGCGGATATATTAAACTTATTGTGACAGGTACAAAAAAAAAAAGAAGAAAACCAATATATATATATATATATAAAACACAAATTAATCTTCAAGATATTTCAGAATATTATGAAACACTGTGCTGTAAAGTCAAGTAAATATCCTTATGACCTTCAAATATTCCTGTTCCTTAGGAAGCACAGATGCTTTTCTGCATACAACAACCTGAAAATTAGTCTTGTAACCCACCTGTAACAGTTCAAATGTCGCAAGCAACTCTCCTGCATGGTCTGGTCCACGTGTCAGCTCATACCACTCGAGGGAGGGAGGAAAATATGGTTTGGCATAGGCCTCCTCTGCTAACTTCACATGTGGTTTTGCCACTGTCCGTCCAATGAACTCAGATTTACCCTGTGGGATTGTGTAAATCATAAAAGTTCAGGGTCTGGTTTGCTATGAGATATCACATGCAGTAAAATTTAAATTAACCAGAACCTGGACGAAGTGGAAACCTGTCTCTATTAGAAAATGCTCTGTTCCCAAGAATAAAGGGCAAAAATCAATAGAATGTTACTTCTAGCAAACAAAAATTATTTTATACAGAAAAAGGAGGCAAATGCAAGAATTTAATTTAAACAATCTTCCTAAATATTAATGATTTTCTAGTCACATAACACTGCAGTACTGAACTAGTATCCTCAAGTGGTGATGCGTCTAGCTTATGATAATATTTTTCCATTTATAAAGAAATAAGAACAAAATTGAGACTATGTTTACACACCACTTTATCCTGGTCAAAAATCTCAATGATTATGGAAGGTGGATCAGTCTTGATTTCCTCCCTGGTCCCATAGATAAGAATCTCATCAAAGATAAGCAATTCATCCCAGGTAGGACTCAACGTTTCGTCAATCACCTGAGTCACCTTGCAGTACTCGCCAATAATGACTCGGGCAAAAGGGTCTGATAATCCAGAAGCATCTGACCCAATTAGTGAACGTGCCTGGTACATGTGTGCACGTAGTTGAAATGACTGTAACAAATTGTATTTATCTGTGAAGTTAAGCAATCCACTGTCTGTTGTTATCTTCTATGAAGTACATACATTTAAAGCACAATGGGACAACTGCACTTGGGCATTCACCTCTCTGTTTTCCCATCTGCATACTTTACCTTGGAAACTACCGAAAAAAATTTCAATTATATTTACTATTAGGTATCTAGAGGTGAATTAAATGTTGATGTGTATTGGTCAGATATATTTCCCACTAAAACGGGAACAAGGTTCCCGTTCCAAGGAAAGAGCGAGGCAGTCCCCCCACTCCAGTGCCCCAGGGTGACGTAGGAGGTAAGTAATTTGACAGGTCAAAGGGTAGGCATCAGACGAAGAGAGACACCAAAAACTGATGCCGGAAGCAGCGTCATCAGCAGCGACTTGAAGCACAGAGCAAATGATGCTCGAGATGGTTCAAGTTCGTATAGCAACAGGCGTGACCAGAGTGGTTCGAACGGCTGCTGTACTGCGATGTGGAAAGCAAATGGAAAAACTACCACATTATCACTTTTCCTGGATAGTCTCTTTCCAAAAACAGAAGATCGCATTAAGTGGAGAGACTGTGGACCTGTCGTCTGACAGATTACTGATGATGATGATTTCCCACTATATAATAAGCTCAAAGTGAACATTCTCAATTTCCCATATATAATTGTATACATAAATCTTTATGTAACATAAGACATAGATCTCATCCAAATCTACAAATTCTATTTGAAAGAGTCTTTTATAAAGAGAATATTTAATGATATGCTTTTCAAGGAAAAGAACAATTACAAAGAATCAATATGGATCATAACTATATTTGGCTGACTATTCTTTGTATAATTCCAATATAAAATTACACCAAAATCTGCTCAGTACTTTCTGGAATGAAACTTGTAGATAGACAAATGCAATCTCCCAAAAATACTTTCATTTCACTCATTTGACACAAAAAACTTAACAATCATGCAAGTACATAAATTTATGCAGAGACTGAAATGGATAGTCTGGAAGAATGAACACAAATTAATTTCCCAGAATTATTTCTAGTTATTAATATTAAGCACATTTCTATTGTGTGTTTAGTGTTTAACGACCATATGTTACACTACATTGCATTACAACCCTGATAAGTTAAAATAATTAAACGTAATATTCCTGAAATTACAAAAGGGAAACAAACATACACTATATTAACAGACATTATAAATTAAGTGGAATTATGCCTAAAATACGAAACACATGGAAATTAATCCTAATGGTTTCTTTTACAGAAAATCGGAATTAATGACCCTTTGGCTGTTCCAATGTGGATATCCTAGATTAACGCATACCTCACTTTGACACTTTGTCCATAACAAAAAATATAGTATCCATGATATGTATACAGTGGCCGTCTTTTAGTGCACTCAGTTTCACATGTTACTTCACGACATGTTTCGGCAACATAGTGCCATCATCAGGTGCCCTAATTACGCTAATCTATTGCATTGCTTGCCATTATATGTCTTTATAAAATTATTTAAAAAGTATTTAAAAAGTGTGTATGCGTCAACTATAATAAATTTACACACATAAAACTTGTTAAGATTATCCATCTTATGTGTCTTAATTAAAACTTGCGTGTGGTTCTTCTGCTATGGGGGTCGTTTTTCTTATATTCTGCGTAAACCGTGTCTTGTGATGTGTGTTCCCTTTTTAGCTGCGAGTGTTGTGTGTTGTCGTGAATTAACAGGTGAAATTGAGTGCACTACAAAACGGTCACTGTATACATATCATGGATGAAAATCAGGGCAACAGGACGCTAAAATACAACACAAAATATAGTACTTCAACAATAAAGTGTCAGTTTCAAAGCCATACCTGCTTGCTAGTTTTATCCTTAATTTTCACTCCATAATGTACATGGGCAGCCTGAATTCATGCGACAAATTCCAATATAAGCAATAATCTGTTCTTAACATCAGATGCCATGACAAATCTCTGCAGATTGTACATTCTGAAGACACATTCAGCAGTCAAGGGGTTGAAATGATTACAATATTTCATAAGTTTACATACATGTTTTTCTGTATAGTGGATCACTGATGGTGGAAGGGCATGAGGTCGCTCAGCATTTCTAATTTCATGAGACACCTCATAGCCTTTCGGCAAGCCATTCACAAAATTCTTCTTGTGCTTGACAAGCCCCAGCCACATATAAATCTGCAGTTTGGCCTGGATTGTCCAACCACTGGGCCCCATACCTCGTTTTCCTGGCAGCTGTATAACAAACACATGCCATTTAGTATTCTGCAAATGTAGTAATTTAGAAAAAGATCAGATCCTTTCAAAATTAAGTTACAGATGTGGGTATATTTTCTGAAGACTAAGATATCGAATGTTTTCACTTGCTGGACAACCTGAGTGTCAAACTAAATTTGACAACAATAATTAACCATTCACAATCATGCCACAGATCTCTATCTTTGGGCATGATATACCTTTCACACTATTACAAAGCTGGATTTTAGTTTGGATTAAGAACTTTATGACCCTTTGTCACTGCAAGCACTGGAGATATAGTTCAGGATGAGAAGCATGGCTACGATTAACACTTAAAATATAATCAGTTCTAGTATACCATGCTTATCAATTTGGTTAACTCTAAAAGAATCTTGCATTTTGAATAATGTTCAGTGGTATTCTCATTAGGATTTTTTATTAGTCACTCTGACTCTTGTACATGCTTTGTGAAAGATTTACATAGAAACCACATTCAGAACAGTTAGTTCCAAATTCAGACTCAATAATTTATAGGCATGAAGCAGGAGTGACAACCACAATGATCAGCTGCACAATGACAAATAAAGATAAATGTGACATGTTTCTTGTAGATGAAGATAAAAGTTCACAGATTCGTATGTTATATGCAAATAATGTTCATTAATACCTTAAGGAACAATGTATGTATTCTTCCACAATCCCGACCACTCTCTTCATCGACAATTGAGTAGATGAGGTCCCGGGATGGGATGCGCTGGTATGCTGTCCTTTTTCCAGAACTTATTACCCATATAAACACATCAGGCATAGATGGTTGAGGCTTTGAAAACAAATAATTTTCAGTTCATCAGTAAAACTGCACAAAATGAAACCATGATGATTAGTTTACAAAACAAACCTTGTCAGACATAAAATAAATAAAGTAACAGGGGTAACAGATTTTAAATTAATGAATAACTTAGTTTAAAATATAACAGTAATCATAAATTAGACACAAAATTCAATTTTATGTAACTACATGACATGACATTTCTGAGGAATCTGCTGCCTCCATCTTCAGGGAAATGATGGAGGTAGCAAATTCATTTGAAACACTGGGAACTTATTATGACAATGTGTGGCATTCCATCTTAGAAGAAAATAAGTGTCCTTGGATAGGTTTCTGCTCAAACTTACACCCATATTCCTTATATGAATTTCCCATGGCAATGAAAATTAAGAGTGTGATTTTCTGGATTATGACACCATATAGTTTTATAGGTATTTACTAGCGTTATGGAGAAATCTGCTACTTCCATCCTCATGATATCCTGAAGATGGAGGTAGCAGGTACCTCTGAAACACTGATAACCATATATGAAGCTTCACAGTGCCATAACCCAGAAGACCACAAATATAAATTACTTATAATTTTGTTCTCGTGTTTTCATTATTGGCATTTCTGATGTTTTAACATTAAGAAAACTGGCAGTCTTATAGTCAGTGCAATGCCAAATTTGAAAATGAATGGCATGAAAGTTAATGTATATGATTATTATGCATTAATGTGTACTCCACATTCATAAGAAATCAAGCAGTTGATGATTTGACTAACTTCAAATTGAGAAACATATGCACACTGTGCCAAGAATTCATTTCATTTTCATAAATAACACTCTTGTTCCTCAGCTAGTACTACAGCGTCTGACGACTTACATATAAAAATATATGGTACAGTAATGAAAAAATAGTGAGTTCCATCAATCCAGCTGATACTCATTCTGTAAGTAATATTATATTTAAGCATCCTGTTGCACTCTATACGATAAATGATATGAACTCCGTCCCAAGTGCAAACAATATATTATATGTCCTTGATCTTGCTCACCTTTACACTACATGTTTCGGCCTCAAACGGCCATCATCAGGTGTATACACTCACGTTGCTGTTACACTGCACTTAGTTTAAAATTTAACATGTAGTAAAGAATAGCAGTGGCACGCACACAGGGAGACTACACAAAATAACACCTGTACAGTGCTGGAAAAAAGAACTTGCCACTGCAGCACTATAGACATAGGGCGTGTAACCCTGACAATTTTAAATTTTAGAATTTAGAGAAAAATTTTAAAGGATTTTAAAATTAGAACTAAAGATTTTATAAGTGCTAATGTGTGTAACAAAAATAATCTATAAACCAGACAGATACCAACGAAGTAGATGTTGATAATAACAACGAAAGGAACAATGTGATTTTAAATGTTAAATTTTAAACTAAGTGCAGTGTAACAGCTAGGTGAGTGTATACACCTGATGATGGCCGTTTGAGGCCAAAACATGTAGTGTAAAGGATAACAAGATCAAGGACATATAATATATCGTTTGCACTTGGGACGGAGTTCATATCATTTATCATTCTGTAAGATTTGAGGATCTCACAGAGATATTCCAGAAGGCAGAACTCTTGATTATTTTATTATTATTATCAGTAATAAAATAATATTGATATTCAGTTAAAAAATGTTGATGCATAAAGAACAAAACTTTTATTGACTACCAACATTGCGAGCAGCTTGAATGAAAACCTGTAAATTAATTTCATCACTTTCAGCTACCTATCCAACTGAATTATCAATGAATTAAAATGACAAATTTATTTCCGTCACTAACCACTGTGCCTTGAAAGTGTGTGCATAGGCAACCTGGAAGTAAACTGCACATGTTCTAGATTTAAACACCAGATAATGGTGAGTAATCTGTTGCACACCCTTGGTTGTACTACAACAAGAAAAGATCTCACAGTGCCCACTGGACAGGAGGTGGTGTGGGCCCCAGTGCCAGTGTGAATATGGTGGTCAAAGACAAAGCCTTATCCCTACTGAGAATTAAACCCTGGCTATTCAACCTATAGTCAGTTCTTTAGCAGCTGTGTTTTATAGCTTCTTGTCTACAAGGATGCATTAATATATTCGACATGGACATCTACTCACATCTTCAACGAGGAACTTCAGCTTTTGGAGGTATGTCTGTGCTGTCTTGTATCTGTCCCTGAATGAACGTTTGGTGACCAGAGCTTTCAAGTTTCTGGCCATGTTGCCTATTTGTTCCTGTTGTATGAGAATTATTATATTATTCTTTGTGCAAATTAGGTTAGAGCTTGAGCTGTATCACTAGACTGATATTAATGAGTGCAATGTGGACAAACAAAGTTATACTTAGTAGCAAATAAGTTTATCAGTGGTCAGATGTGACTAAAACCAAAAATAATGTAATCTGGACCAGATAACGTGCATCCATATTATGGTGAACATTTTGCTTAAAATATTTTTCCTTTGCAATATACTATCTCAAGTGTTTGAAAATTACAAACTAATGGCTTAAACAGTTGAAATAGGACAGAAGACATTTAATTTGATTAATTATGTCACATACAATAGTCAATGAGAATAATTGACTTTGGATTAAATATAATTTCTCTCATTTATATCATGGAAAGGTTTAAATTTATGCACCAGAGAACATCTTTGGTCTGGTCTTTGTCCCTCAATATTAAGTATGCATTTCATATAGATCTTCAACTCACAATTTCTCTTTGACAGAGCTTAAGACGTTCCTTGTCAAGCTTCGTTCTCCCCAGCCCAGCACCTGATCCATTTCCTTTTGTTATGGACACAAAGCGAGCACAACTTATGGATAGCTCTTCCAAAACTGACCGCAGCGTCTTCTCCGCATTTGGATCCTCCAGTTCACTGAGGGAGTGCGCCTCTGACAGGCCTTCTTCCTGGGGAAAATGCATGGTCTTACGACAAAACTTCTACCAACAGAACTTTGTTCAATTCAACATCATGTTCAAGGTCAGACCCATCTACTGTTCAAGCAGAAGTCTTAACGTTTTGTTATATATTTTACATTCATTATAACCTGACACAAACGCCAGTTAATTGCATTACATTTTGTATGCCTTGCATAAAGAAAATTCAGAAATCTCTGTAACAGTTCTGAAAGTTTTCATGTGTATCTGTTCCCTACCACCTGATGTGAAAAAGAGGAAGCATCATAACATCACAGCAGCATTATCCCTCTTGTACCTGAAACAAATGTACAATTTTCACAACTACTCTGCTTTGGTTTTGCAATACCACAACTGTACATAATCATGACATGGCTAAAAACAATTGAAACAACATTAAACTACAATTCAAACTGTGAAGAGATGATAAAGAAGTGCTGTAGGCATCAAGAGTATCACATTAGCCAGTTACATTGGCTTGGTATGCTGGAATATACATGATATTATGATTCATTATGACTAGTTTCACAGACTTATAATGTATTAGATGAAGCAACAGGTTAATCAATTATAATCCCTACCATCTCCTTTGATTATTTTGTCATCATAAGACACTTCCGCAAATCACACCACAAACTGCATAATCCCAGTGTGCACCAATGGATTGATTCTGCTTGCCTAGTAACTATTTGCCAAGATGCCTCATAGTTACAATACACTCACACATACACAATACATGTACACCACTAAAATGAGGAATCTAACTCACTTATGTCCATTTCAACTGAAACTGTTGTCCATGGATATTATCACTTCACTGTTCAGATGATTCTGTCACTATATTAAAATTCATATAGTTTATTATGTTTTCTGTGTCACATGAAAACTGAATTTTAGTAATTTATATGGTGTACGACTATATCTGAAGTTTAACAGTTCAACGCAATTTTGTTAGCTGCTGACACATATTTCACTACATTCAATTATAGATCATCCACTGATACTGTGCTAATATATTCATTTTGTAGGGTTGTAAAGGTCCACTCTCACTCCTTTTAGCCATCAGTTTCCTTACGGATGAGAAAATTCTGTTATTTTATGATGCCGCCAGTAACTACACAACCATGTCATATGATAGAATGACTGGTGAATAAAGAAGAATTTGAAAGAAAGTGCTTCATGACTTAATCCAGGTAGTATCCCAGTATTTGCTTGGAGAGACTGATGAAAACCATAAAAACCTCATTCAGGATAGCTGGTGTTCCATCCACAATTCAAACCAAGCACCTCAAAATTTCAATCTAGAGAGTTACCACTCAACCAGTCTCATCGGTAAAATTTCCCACTTTATAGACATTTGGCTGTCAACATTCCTCCATTGGTCTATAAATATCTATAACTGCTCTCAAAGTCTGCAGTAAGTGTGATCAGCCAGCACAACATTACACTACTGAGGTTTCATTTCTAATCTTGTCTGAACTTGAAGTAGGAAAGTTTATTTCAGTCTGTATGGATTAACAGCATCTCTTCATACAGGTGATAATCCAAGTGAGATTTAATTTGACTTTCTGATTTCCAAAAAAAAATTATACATTTTCACTTTTCCAATTGTTGGCTGTTAATTTGATTACTAACAAAATGATGGAAAGGAACAACACATATGAGATGATACAAAGGGGGACCCAAAAATAACCAGAAACGACCTGTTGCGCGCGCATGCTTTGTAGTTATGAGTTGTGCTGCTAGGTGGTGTTATATGGGGGTCTCCCGCGACTGTTAGTGAGCTGGCATCAGTCTGAGTTAAGTGGTTTGTCTGTGGTGCTCTGTTGTGTGCGTTCCTGTTACAACCCTTTGGCGATTAGTGAGATGGCCGACCAGAAGGAACAAAGAGTGTGCGTGAAATTTTGCTTTCTGTTAGGGAAAACTGCACTTCACTCTTCAAGTCGCGGCAAACATTCACGCGGTTTTCTCTTTGGTCATCTCCGAGCAAGCGAGGAACAAATTTTGCAGACACCCGTCTCATGTGCAAACCTTCGGTTAAAATTCGCTGGACCGTGCTCCATGAGATGTTCGTTTCCTCAGAAAGTTGGTCAATGGTCTTTCGACGATCTTCATAAATTTCACGCACACTCTTTGTTCCTTCTGGTCGGCCATCTCACTAATCGCCAAAGGGTTGAAACAGGAACGCACACAACAGAGCACCACAGACAAACCACTTAACTCAGACTGACGCCAGCTCACTAACAGTCGCGGGAGACCCCCAGCTAACACCACCTAGCAGCACAACTCGTAACTACAAAGCATGCGCGCGCAACAGGTCGTTTCCGGTTATTTTTGGGTCCCCCCTCGTATTAGGATAGCCTCTAGGTTAGGGGCTGGACTCAAGGCTAATATTTTTGCTCTGCCCCCCCCCTCCCACAAAAACTTTTCAAAATTCAAAGAAGTTAAAACTGGGTCATCTAGACAGATCTGGTAGAATCTTCTAAGGAAGGGTATGGTTCAAAAAGGCCTGTTTTGCCGGCGGTGGCGGCAGTGCCGGTGTTGGTGGTGGTGGTGGTGGTATCAGGAAGGTTCCAAAATTATATCAACTAGTGGACCAGTTCAGTGTTCCTTTTGACATTTGAAATGAGGAGCACAGGTGAAAGCAGAGGTACTGTGGAGGTAAAATGTATCATTTGACCGTTTGTAGATGATACAAAACATAAAATTTTGAATAGAGGAGCAACGTCTTCCTGTACAACCTATTCCTTTCACTCACTCCTCCTAACTGGAAAATTTTAGCCCATCATTTTGCTTTTGTAATAGCTGTATGGCCACTTGGATTGGTTTCAGTTATCTGTGCCTTGGACTTCAGAACAGCAACGCTGCTGGGGCAGCTAGTCATGGGCCAGCTTTAGACTGGAAGGTGAGTGGTGGTTTCCAAATTCTGTTTATCTTCATCATCATCAGTAATCTGTCAGACGACAGGTCCACAGTCTCTTCCAAAACAATTCATCCACTTAATGCGATCTAGAGCTTTCTCCTTCAAATGACAGTATCCTCTTCTGTCCCCAAGGTCATCCAGCATCTTCTTACGTCTTCTTCCTCGTCTTCTTGTCACTTCTATCCGCCCATCTATCTTTCCTTCGATAGCTTCTTTTAGAAGGCAGTTTCTGCGTAAAACATGACCAATCCAATTAGCCTTCCGTTTTCTTATTTCATGTAGGATATTCCTCTGCTCACTGACTCTAATTAACACTTCTTCATTTCTCACATAATCGGTCCAACTGATCTTCTCCATTCTTCTCCAACACCACATTTCGAAACTTTCCAGATGTTTCTGATCTACTGCCCTAAGCGTCCATGTTTCAGCCCCATACAGAGCTATGTTCCAGATGTAGCATTTCACTACTTTCTTCCTCAAATTTAAGTTCAATTTGCTGGTAAAAAGATTCTTCTTCTTGCTAAATGCAGCTTTTGCCATGGAAATCCTAGATTTAATTTCACACGTACACCTTCCATCATCTGTTAACAAGCTACCCAAATATTTAAAACATTTCACATTCTCCAGTTGTTTTTGGTCTATCTTTATTGTGACTGGGGTTGGTTGTCTCGAAATTTTCATTACTTTTGTTTTTCACACATTCATTTCCATGCCATAGCACCTTCCAAATTTGATTAGTCTATCAATCATACCCTGTAGCACAGTTTCTTCCTTAACACGAGGTCATCTGCATAGTTTGTATTTCACAGTTTGAATAATTT